TTTTCTACTTCGTATGTGCTTATTATCTTTTAGTAGTGTTTTTGAATTTTTTATTTTAATTAATGATAGTTTTTTGTGAATTTTATGTTTGTCGGCCTTTGGTATACGTTTTCGTGAAGTCCACCTGATGGAAATACTTTAAATATTTTACACTCCGTATTGTCCTGTTTGCGTATGAATTCGTTGGTGACGTTTATAATTAATAGATAATTTAGATATAAAGTTTTGATTTTTTTATTTTATACGTGGAAAGCTCATATTGGAAGGGTATAACTTTTCTTATTAGGAATTTCTATATGTTCTTTTTAAGGGTTTAAGATTCAGAAAATTGTCATGCGTTTTCGTAAATTTTTTAATTATGAGAAAAAGCGTGTCAGGATATGGTGAAGAGTGTGCGCAATGCCATTGTTTGTGCAATTCTGGGATTTTTTCCTAAGTAAAAATAAGTCTACGTGTACATGGTTTAGTTATATTTTAATTAATGATAGTTTTTTTGTGAATTTAGTTTGTAGGAATTTGGTATACGTTTTAGTTGAAGTAAACGTGCATGGAAAAATTTAAATATTTTGACACTAAGTATTTGTAATGCTTGCGGTATGATTCGTTGGTGACGTTATAATATAATAGATGATTTAGAGGTAAAAGTTTTTGGATATTTTATTTAATTTATATGTGGAAATGTTCATATTTGGAAAGGGTATACTTTTTCGCGATGAGTAATTTCATATGTTTTTTACCGGGTTTAAAGATTCAGAAAATTGTCATTATTTTCGTGAAATTTTTCTAATTTATGAGAAAAAGCAGTGTACATGGATATAGTGAAGAGTATGCACAATGCCTTTTGGCAATTCTGGGATGTTTTTTTAAGTAAAATAAGTCGGCGTGTACATGGTTTATGTGTATGTGTTATTTTGAAAACGTAAGGAGTATGGTATTGTGCACTTTTTCCCCAATTTGGCAGTGAATATTTGTCATGATTAAGCAGTTTGTTAGATAAACTTTCTAGCATAAGTGATTCGGCTAGTAGATTTTTGGAAGAAGTGTTCAGTAGATAAAAAGAAAAGAAACATGCTTTACTTCGTGAAGACAAATGGTGGCAGGAAAAAAAAAAAAATAGAGGGTTGCTGTAGGAGAGTTGGTTGCCAAATTTTCGCCAAAAAATTGCCAAGTTACCATAATCTAAAGAAAAACCATCTGCAATATAAAACAAATGCATGGCTAGTCAGCAAAACATAATATTCGAATCTAGCCAATAAACTCGGCAATTTAAAAGAAATGTGTTGCCACTGCCCAAAATACCAACTCGACATTGAAATGCAACCCAAGAAGGATTGGTAAAGTGATGAATTTGGAAAAAGACAGGGAGAGCGGCAGCAATAAGTGCTTTTTTCAAAATGATAGTCAGATACAGAGTGAGACGGCATCGGCTCAGTAGGATGTAGGACCACCGTGGACAGTGATGCACGAAGAAACACGTCTAGGCATAGAGTCATAATAGTGTGGATGGTGTCCTGAGGGATGGCTCTCCATTCCCTTTCAACCATTTGTCACAGCTCGCCTTCTGAACGAGGCAGGGGCAAAGTCTGCAAACGGCGTCCAATCACATTCCACATGTGTTCGATTGGTGACAGGTCAGTAGAGTACAGTGGCCAGTGAAGCATCTGTATACCTAATAATAATTTGCTTGCTAATAATAATTTGACTTAAAACAGACCTGATTAAATTCCATTGAAGATAATAATTTTAAGTTTTTGATTGATGAATGTAATGCATTTTAGAAAAAAGGATTTCAAATTTCTAGTGCACATACTTAAGCGCATGAAACAGAAATTGACGACCTTGGACCCGCTGTATTGCCAAACCTCTTAAACTTTAAATCCCTGATTATTTAAAGAACAAGTGTTTTAGAAAGTGAATTAGCTTTGAGGTGCAGTAGTAATTCCACATTTCATTTCACTGAATGTTGAGAACTTTTGAAGATGAACAAACACTCTTAATTTAATTCAGTACAAAATCTTTACTCTGCCAAAAAGTACAGTATGATAGATACACTATCATATTGTACTTTTCATTATTGAACTATTGGTAGTGTATCTATCATACTCCTCCCAAATGGATAATTACATTAGGTTTTGATGAGTTTCTGGTTTTTGTAGTTTAGAAATGGTACATAAATTGGTTATTTGAATATGGCAAAACACAAGGAGGATGCCTATTTCAGGGAAGCAATGTATTCATAGAGTACTTTTCTAAGGAAAAGTGGCTCATATTCGTGGTTTAGATGGAGAAAACCATGTGGCCAGCTCGTAAGTCTGGGTTGGTTTCCGTACACTCTGTCAGCAGTCCATAATCGTTCACTAGTAGAGACCACTTAAAATAAGAGCTAGGTCATTCAATTTTTAAAGCATCATGTTAATTAATTAACCAGTTATGATCTAAATCTTTACTATAATTTCTTTTTGTATTCTTAGCTAGAATGAAAATGAGCTTTATCTATATTTAAGCTGAGGTATTTTTTAATCTTTAGTTGAGAGAGCTTCTGACAGTTGCGTGATCTTGTCAATATTTTTAGCCACTCAGTTTGAAAATTCTATTCAACATTAGCATTCTTGCTAGCAGATGATTTAAATATGTGCTGATAAATTATATAAGTTATATAAATTGATAAAGTTTCTCGCCAAACATTTTTGGCGAGATATTTTTTGTCAACTCGGTCTCTAAATGACAGTACTTCCGTATTTTTCATTTATTGTTTTAAAAATGTGATGTGCTTTATATAAAATTGGAGGCTGCAGATTACACCCACATTGCTCAGTGATTTCTAAAGAATAAGCTTCTAAAAAACTATTTATGTGTGTGTGTGATTATGGCAAACCTCGAGGGCTATCTGCCTAAAGAGAGGGATGCCTTCATGGAGGACTTTCTAAGGGAAACTGGCTCGTATACACGTTACACATGGGGAAAACCACGAAAACGCCCATGCAGCCAGCCCGTTTGCAGGATTCGAACCTCGGACCGAACTACCAGTGTTCAGCGACTTTACTGCTCGGCCGCTGGTGGGCAAACTATTTATGTTCAGAAACAAAATATGTTCAGTCGTCAAGCTAGTTAAGTTTGTCCCAAATTCAGTCTACTACGTAATCAGTGTTTCAGCCATCTCTTATCACCATCCCACCATGACTGCTACATAACTGCTTGTAGACAAACATGCCGAGTTCAATACATAATTTATTTCTGGACATTTTTTATACATATCTTCAATTACACATCATTTATGGATACAACAAGCACCCCCACAATTTTACATACACCTTTAAAGAACAGACAATACACTGAAGCAAACAGACATGTGCTAGCAGCAGCAAGGAGTAGAAAAATAAGTGTACATTCAGCAGATGGGATATTTATGCAGTTGGTCTCTGTTTAAATTTTGGGCTCCTCAATTGGATATGAGATATGTGTATTGCGGGATTACTATGATAACATTATGTGGATTAGTTTCCCAAATGACACACTTATGATTTCGGAACACATAGCCAAATTAAAATGAGGAATTAAAAGGCTATTGTCAAATTAAAGTTAGTAGTTTTCTTTCATATTAACTTATTTCCTATTAAGTTTAACTTCATATTAACTTTAACTGAAATCACATTACTTTGGCAGTTTTTTAGAGAAGTGTTGCGAACAGAAAAGTACACATAGAACAACATTCCAAATGTAGTTTATTTATATAGTTACTGTATTTAAATTATTCTATTTCTAATTAAAGCAGGTAAACATTCTTATGCAAATGTAAATAAAAGAATTAAAAAAACATCAAACTAACAAAAGTCCTCCAATGTAACAATCTAATGATACAAATTCTTTCAGCAATATGTTACACATGTCAACATTTGTGGCTTATTTAAATGTTCTAAAGCAGTGGCCTTAAAAGTGGCAGGCCACATGCAGCCCTTGAAAGAATTTTACACAGATTGCGAATACATTTCCCAAAAGTTAAGAATTTAAAGAAAATGTTAAAAATTTTAAGGATTTCGAGTCGAACTTTTCGTTACTTTCATTACAAAAAGAAACATAGCACATCAGAAAATCTACAAACGGAGCTAATCACAATACACTGTGATATAAAGTTTAAGTAAAGATTTGAAGATACAAATTTCCTTATCATTTATTTTTATTTGCTAAAAGACAAATACTTTCAGTTATGAATTTTTGCAATAAGATTAATCTCTTTAATAAGAAAAAATATATATTTTTTCTGTATTCATCAAAGAAAAATTTAATAAATAAAGGAAAGAGAATAGGTTATTATTATTTATCCTCAAATTCTGCTCCACTTGGGAAATTTTTAATGTAAGTAGAGGTTTATTTAAAATATATGATTTATTTGAAATGAATATATCTGAAATTTTAATATTTAGCTGTTCATACATCTGCATTGCAAAGTGTAACCAAGAGATATTTCTTACAGAACCAACTGTACCCATGTATTATCCCACTGACTGGCCAAGTAGCAGAATTTAGTGTCAATTATGGATGACTGTGTTCTTTAGAATTCCACAGTAACGATTCCCGATTACAAAATGCTGCCAAAATTTTTGCCAATGGTCCACAGGATAATAAGCAGTACCAAACCTACCTTTATATTAAAAAAAAAAAAAAAAAAAAAAAAAAAAAATTGAATTTTTCTTTGCATTGTTATTGTTATCATTTATGAATGTTTTGATAAATAATCAGTAAATAAAATTTTTCATTCAGTTAAAAACATTCCTGTCCGTCAGCTGTTTTCAGATAATGTATTCTGCTAGCCTGCAATTTGATTTTGAGACCACTGTTTTAAAGCAATAAGATATTCTATTTTACCTATACCAAGATGATTTATAAAGCATATTAAACTAAAAATATTGGAAAACTTAATAATAAAATGTAAGTGCAATAATTTGTTTATACCAATTCTAACTCAAATGAGTAACATTTACAAATATTTTCGGCTTACTTACATGTTCTAAAGCAATAAGATATTCTGTTTTACCGGCGCCAGGTCGGTTACCTAATAAACCGGGTCCTGAACCAGGGGGTCCAATATATGGAAAAATCATATTCTGAGCGTTGAGTGATGAGTTATTCCTTCTTTCATCAGAATTATACTGTTCTTTGCTGTAAAATTTATTCCTTCGTTCTGTTATACCTCCTTGAAACATGATCCCAAGTAATTCAAATCTTAGGGAAAAAAAAATTATAATAATAAAAATATTTTTAATAAATCTCTTACGGAAAATTTCATTATATGATCATACAGAATATTCAGGAATTGAGTACAGCATATTTCATAAATTATATAACATTTATTAAATCAAAAGAGAATTTCTGAAAAATATACCAGATTAAACTAAGATTATTTCCTTGAACTGAAACATATTTAAAAGATTTCAGTTTAAAACAAAACTGACAATTAATTTTATTACATAAACTTAACTCCAAGAACTTCGCTTTGCACTACTGACACTAAATTCTTCTGTATACCTGCTGCAACAGATCACCAAAAGTATGATATTGCCAATTCTAGTGAAATAAATTTAAGTTCATTCTAGAGAATTGGCAGGGGACAAAGCTGCAAATTATAACTCCCTTTGAAAAAAAAAAAAAAAAAAAAGATAATAATTAAAATATTATGCAAATAAAAGAAAATGGAGTCAATTTTTTTTTAAAACTGAGGAACAGAAACGTATGATAGTTTAATTTACAATAAAAGACTACATATTCTGCACACTGACTTGGTTTTCATTCACGTGATTAAAGAAGATGGTACTACGATACTGTGTCACATTTACGATAATGTGTAAAAAATATGCCATTGCGAAAAGATATGCAAAAGTTATGTGCCCAGCCTGACGACATCTAATTGCTATTATTGCTTATCCAAGGAAGACTTCATCATCGGCCGATAGATGGCGCCACGACTATCGTTGGCGCCACTGCTCAACTTCTTCACTACTGAAGACTTTGCACTTTTATTATAAGTGCACAGGATTTTTCCATTTTTATGGAATTTATCGAACTTTTACAGGTCCTTAGGGGAATGATAAAACATGTAGTGGTAAAGGCCTTCGGGTCGAACACCACTTAACGAATGATGATCTCCGACCTTTCCGCATTTAATTTTTTCACCATTTCATTTCTGTGCAGGAAAGTGTTTTTCCTTTACCAAGAAGAATTGAAAAAAAAAAAAAAAAAATTGTGACTCTGATGATAATAGTTCTAAAATAATTTTGTACGTTGTACTGTATTCTTTTGAAATAATGTGATTCCGAACAGCAGCTCTATAAACCCAAAAAAGTATAGTGCTGCTTCAAATGAAACTATTGACCCTCTGCCACTTAAAAAAAAATACAAGTTACAAGCTGGATATTGAAGTTAGGGATCAATTATTCTCAGATCATGACTTACTCCGGGTTTCCTTAATACTAGCTGCTGTATGACACTAGACAAAGAAGTCTTTATTAACGATTGGCTGAAACACATAAAAGTTCTAAGCAAAACTGTCCACCGTTATACTCGGAGGATGACATTGGAAGTTTAGTTTCAGACTTTTCTGAAAGTGCCATCTCTGCCTATGACACATGCTGAGAAACAGCTCACAAAGAGAAAATTAAACATTTACCTCAACTCTTGGATCTCATTAGAAAGTGAAACGCAGCTTGAAGAAGATATGAACGAATAAGAAATCTGGAAGACAAGGGGAGCATGAATCAGCTACACAATGCATTGAGGAATGAAACAAATAACAAGCACAATTCGATTGGTCTAGCTATGTTACCTCTCTGCCTACTGATAACTCGAAATAGAGAGCAGCCTCTGCGCATAAGAAATGCTACAAAACCACTCCGCTCGTTAAAGGCCTTCAAAGGATCTATGACACAGAGTCTGAGAAAGCAGAACTCTCAGTAAAGCATCAGTGAATTTCAGTTTTTCACCAACAATATTTATAATATTTCAGTGGAATCTTCAGTCTGCACTCTCGCTTCGCAATGCCCCAACTTCCCAATAACAAAACATAATTTCAGTCTTATTGTAAAGGTACTGGGCTATACCAAGAATCTTCGAATTAAAGGCCACAGTCGTGATACGTCACCAATTACAAGTGGCTTCGCTGTTTCGATATTCACTTGAAACATAACGATCACTTTGACCTTGCGATCGATAGTTCTTGTAACGATCAGCCCGAATCCATCATTGAAAACGATCGAATCAATATGGTAGCTATGCTGTTTGTACGTTCACGAAGACAGAATTCAAGTGTTCCAAGGTACTTAAGATTTAGCATTGTGTTATTTACATGTGTGTTGATAGATTGCTATCCAATTCTGAGAAATATAGATGGATGCACTGCATCAAATTATTCAAATCATTCCGAAAACAACTTTAGGAGTTTCCCGAGAAATGAAGAAATAACGAAGAAAATTGTTAGTTAATTTTCGTCGATTCGAATGGATTCCGAGCACATGAGCATGCGCTTCTGAAACAAGTTCAGCTTCGTATTTTTTCGTATATTGTTAAATTATAAATAAATTACTGTATTTTCATTTAAATATTGCTGATTAATGATAAATTGACATTACATATACAACATGAATTGTAAACTGTGTCTGTATAGTCAATAAATAGATACCGCCAATGCTGATGTGAATTTTACTTCCTTGTACGTACTAAAGGAAGTATTGTAATCATGAAACATTTGGGGTATCATATTTCAACGAAAAATATCCATTTTGATCACTATCGAATGCAATTTAACGCTGTTTTGGCGTGACACTTGTACGTAAGGACAGAGTAAAGGACTCTTTTTATCACAAACGAATTATAAAACTGATTTAAATAGTTTTTCCCGTGGCGTCTGTACGTACTTGCGTACGTATGTATGTACGTACGTATCGACGTATGTATGTATCTCGCATAACTCAAAAACGAGTAGCCTCAGAACGTTCAAATTTTGTATACAGGACTGCTATAGTATGTTGTTGGCACCTTCCAGTTTTGGTTGCAATCAGCCGCACCAAAAGTATTGTTACGAAATGTCAAGGAGCGGTGGGATAGCTTCACCTCAAAGCAGGTTTAGGGTGGCCACATTTGGCGACAAAATTGGCGATATGCCATAGACGGATTGAGAACCTTCTGGAACGAATTCTTACTGGTTTAGCCCAGAATATTCTCGAACACAAGCCAAAAGCTATATAAACCCTACTGGTACGCGGACAGTCAGTCAGTTATTCAGTGCGGAGTTAGTGATAGTCCATCGAGTTGATAGTCAGTCAGTAAGTGCCGAGTTTGTCGTCGACTGCCCCAAAAGAGTCTCTTAGTGTATCGCGGTTAGTGCATCGTCGAGAGAGTGTGTTGAGCACCGGGAACGATTGAACTGAAGAGTCGGGAACCGTTCTCTAGTGTATCGTCGAGTGCATCGCGAGTTATAACGTGGAGAGTCTCGAAGTACGAGCAGTTCCGAGAACGACCGAGCAGAGTCGGGAGCTGTACTCTGGTGGTTTGCAGAAGCTGCCTCCACCGTTACAACCTGATAACATAGAGGCTGTGTCGCTGATTGTGTTAGCGTGCTTATAGTAGTTTTCTGATTACTGTAAAAGTGTGGTTGGAGCTGTCTTGAAAAATACTGGTCAATAAAGTGTGTTTTGATACTCTATGAAGTGCTGTTGTCATTATTCACTCCAAATCCGCACGAACCCCGTACTTACGAACGTGAAAAGTAGAAAAATAACGTAACTGTATTATATATGTAGATCCACTCTGGTACTCGGCTCAGAGAGCTCATTTTACTTCCTTGTAGTAAGTAAAAGTAAGTATTGTAAACACGAAAAATTCCGGGTACCATATTTCAATGAAAATATCCATTTCCCTTATCGAATGCAATTTAACGATGTTTTTGCATGATATCTGTACGTAAGGAAAGAATAAATGACTCTATTTCTCCAAACGAATTATAAAACTAATTTAAAATGGATTAAAAAGAGATTTTTTTCATGATGTCTGTATATACACTGCGTAAAAAAAAAAAAAAAAAAAAAAAAAAAAAAAAAAAAAAAAGTTTTTATATCTTTCGTTCTACTGGGCCAATTGACGAAATTCTACTTGCCGTTTTTATCACTCGAAAGTGCGACTTAGGATATATATTAGATTTATACATAGCATTGTTCCAATATACGTATTTTGACACAAAATCGGACTTTTTCTGAAATAACATACCAATTGTTTTCCATATTTCCATTCTACGACTCAAATTACGCCAAACTGCCAAGTTTTGTAAAAATCGCACGACTAGATTTAAAAAAATTAGCTCTCAAAATTTTAAATCTTCAATGCTAATTCAATGCCAATTGTATATATTTATTAATCTCCCTTTTTTATTACCCCTATTTGATTCTTATTTCACATTTCGAAATTCAGGCTCATTACAAATAAAATTTACCCATTTTTTATAATTTATTTTTTAAAAATTTGCATTTTTAAATAATTTTTATAAATGAAAAAAAATTGGCATATTTGTTGAAAGCGGTAAAACATCAAACGTGGTTTAGACACTTTTCTAAAATTATTTGAAAGTAGGAATAGTGTGACTTTTTTCTCGCTCATGTACAATGTAAAAAAGTAGGAACGAGTGCCTTTTTTTCCGCTCCGTCATAAAAATTGCTGAAAAAATTGCGCCAAGATAAATTTTTGAACTTCTCCGTAAATTTTACAAAATTTATTACCTAGGCATAATTTGAGTCGTAGAATCGAAATATGGAAAAAAAAGTTGACATGTTATTTCAGAAAATAAATACGTATGTTAGAACAATGCTATATATAAATCTAACATATATATCATAAGTCGCGCTTTGGAGATATGAAAAAAGCAATTTGAATTTCGCCAATCGTCCCAGTAGAACGGGAGATATAGTATTAAACTTTTTTTTTTTTTTTCCACAGTGTACATACGTAATAGGATATGTGACATCTTTGGCTTTCGAAAAGCATTTTGCATTAATTTTTTTACTAGAAAAATTTCGGGTATTATATTTTAACGAAAAAAATCCTTTTTGACCGCTATCGAATGCAATTTAACGATGCTTTAGCTTGACATCTGTAAGTAAGGACAGAATAAAGAACTCTTTTCCCCCCAAAAAATTATAAAACTGATTTAAATTGAATTCTGAAGAGATTTTTTTCGTGGCATCTGTGCCAACGTATGTATCTCGCATAACTCAAAAACGAGGAGCCTCAGAACGTTAAAGTTTTGTATATGGGACTGCTACGACAAGTAGATGTACACCTCCCATTATAGTTGCAACGCGCCGCACAAAAAGTATATAAATATATGTATATATATATTTACTCTATTATTCGGCTCAGTGTGGTCAGTTTCTTTAATCTTATATGTTTGTAAATTGTCCTTTTTTGCTTTAAAAAGGATTGAATTGTCTTGTTCTTATCCTCCGGTTAAGGTATTTTTTGCCTTTAGTTAACCTGCATGCGATAATTGTGGAATTATCAACCATTTAAAAATTGTTTTAGTGCGACTAAGCCTAATTATTTTTACCATAGCAGCCATATTTGTTTACATTTGAAACTTAGCAGAATAGTTGTTGCTATTGTGAATTACTTAGTTTACTATTGTGAATTAAATAATGCTTAATCCATTCTGGAAATTATTCGAAGAAATAAGAGTTGAAAATTTACTTCGGATTTTTTAATATAATATTTTGAGTTTTTTATGCATTTTGCCTTCGCGAAAGTGAGAACTGAATTAATTGAATGAAATACTAATTGTCTGTGAAAAACATTTTTTTTGTTTGTTTAATTTCTTTTTTTACATCGTTTTAGATTTATTATAGTATCTGAATAGAACATGTTGCAAAGATTAGATAATTCTTCAGAGAATTAATTTTTATGCATTCTTTGCATTTCTTTGCGTTTTTTTTTTTTTTTCATTGGTTGGTTTTTGCGCTACCGACGAAGTAGATTTAATTCAATCCAATAAGTTTAAATGAAATGGAAGAAAAAATGCGTATAATTTAATATTGTCTACAAGGAAGTCATGTGGTGTACACATCAGATTTTTTAAATTCTTATATGTTGGTAAATTGCGCATTTTTAGCTTTTAAAGTGATTGAATTATGTTGTTCTCATCTTTCGGTTAAGGTTTTTATGCCTTTAAGTAATCTGCATGAAATAGTTGTAGAATTATCAACAATTTAAGCGCGGCTACGCCTAACTTCTGTTTATCATAGCAACCATATTTGTTTACATTTGTAACATAGCAGAATAGTGAATTCAGTTTCTGCACCTTCAGTGTCTTTTTGCCGAGTGGGACCAAAATTAAACTTTCATTTTAGTGCACCGATAAATTGCTTTGTTGCTTGCTAGCTACGAATGGCTTGCTTTTGCGTGGAAACTCTATTTAGTGTAAATTTATTTTTTTTTAATTTTTTTCTTAACTGTATTTGGTGTTTATTTTTTTCATATTTTCAATTTTAATGAAGATATTTTTGATGTTTTACTATTTTTCCGCGAACTGAGAACAGAATTAATTGCGTGAGAAATATATCTCTAATGAAATTCGAGGAAATAAGTTTAAATGAAATACCGTAAAAAGTGCGTATAATTTAATATGCCGTAGAAGGAAGTTTGGTGGTGTACGCATCAGCTTTTTTTATTGTTATTATCGCTAACGGATAAAGTTTAAAGAATTACATTTTACATTTAATTTCAACTTTGTGCGTTATTAGAATTATGAAGGGGGCTTTGAAGCCTAGCATTATCATTAGAATCAATAAGCAGATAATTACGAAAGTGCCACTTCTTCAAATGCTCAAATTGAGAAAGTTATAAATATTATTATAGAGATCAATACTTACCTATCTGGAAGACTTCAGCAGGGACATCAATTCTGAAAATGAAGGACATCGCAAACATCTTTTGAATCGTAAGGGCCGATAAATCTTTTTCCTTTCTTAAGCAAGATCGTAGGAGCAGTAATCCTAAACAGAAACCATTCTTTTATAGAAGAAAAAGAATATACTTATTCAAAACCAGTTCTATTTCCACCCAAGGCATTCAACAACGCACTAGCAGTACACAGTCGTGAACTATATCACAAGTAGAATGCAAAGAAAGAAAATGATTTGAGGGTTTTTTGTTGTTGTTGTATATAGCCAAAGGGTTTGATCATGTTTGGCTGGGCGCACACATATACAAAATAATCAAGCTACGACATCATAGTACACCGCAAACATCATTAAATCTTTCCTTACAGACAGACACATTCCACTCTAATATATATTCCACTCGCAGAGCTATCTTAGCTGGAGTCCCACAAAGGTCCCTCTTAGGACACTTCTGGGAATTTTTCTACTGAGCTTAGAACTCCGCGTTTCTTGTGGGATACGGGCTCTAACTGGAATGTATGATGATTACGCAGCGATCTTTGCACAAAACATATTTCTTAGAACAGCCATACAACACTTACAAAACACATACATTCCCTAGAGGCCTGGTTAATCAAGTGAAAAATGCAAGTAAAGTTGATAAATCAAAAACGTTTCTATTTACCTAAGGAACTAAATTTAAATATACATCTATACGGCAATACTCTTCCCTAGGCAAAGCAAGGCGCTTATCTGTGGGTGATTCTCGTTAATGCTCTGACATGGACACCACATATTATATCTATTATTTAGAAATTTCGAGCATCTACAGCAAGACTCTTTTCCCTTATTGCTCGAAAGCGTTTTACCTATAGCCAACAAACTGCTCATTTAGAAAGATTTGTGCTACCCATGTCATGTTGTGCCAGCTCTGCCTAGGTGCAGTCATGCCGAACTAATCGGAAAAACTACAGATCGCGCAGAATACGAGTCTACAGCAAATCAGTCATGGTATGTGCGGAATAGCAAAATACAGGAGGAACTGAACGTAAATACATGAGGAAAGAACTGAACGAACACAACTCAGAATCATATACTATAAACTAGCTAAGCAATTCCACGAGAAATCTCGCCTAATTACTAATAATTGTAATAAAGTGCGGATGCAGGGCTCCCTTCATTTCCTTCCTGCATAAAATAACGCTGTAACGTGGCAATACATTTTTTTGCTTCCTGGTTAGTCACAGGCACAGGTGACTCATCATCATCATCGTCATCTTCGTCTAATTTTCCATGTTTTGATTTAATACCTTCTACGATTGAATCCTCACAGTTTTCATTATCATCGTAACATGGTAAATTGTTATCTATTGTTGAAAATTCTTCATAGTTAATACAAATAGGAACTTGCAACATATCCTCATTTTCTTCGTTGCTTAAATTTTCGGAAATTTCTAAGGGTTTAAAGCCACAATTAGTAAAACAGTTCTGTATTGTAGTGGCTTTTATAGCTCGCCAACTATCAGCGACAAACTGTATTGCTTGCAAAAGGGAAATTTTTGAACTTATCTCTCTGGCTGTTGTGGAAGTTGTTAATAAATTTTCATCAATGGATTCTAATATGTAATTAACCAATTTCCCACGATACAAAGTCTTAAAATTTTTTATTACCCCCATGTCCATTGGTTGCATTAAAGATGTGGTATTAGGAGGAAGAAATTCCAGCTGTATATTTTGTAGATTGTCTAAATGAGGGTGTGCCGCACAATTGTCAACAATCAGCAAAATTTTTCTTTTTTTATGTTGTAAATTTCGGTCCCAACTGGTAAGCCAATTTCGAAAAATTTCAGAAGTCATCCACGCATTTTTGTTTGCATGGTACTCCACTGGTAAACCCTCCATGCTCAACCCCTTAAAGCATCGAGGTCTAGCACTTTTTCCTATGATCAGTAGCTTTCGTTTGTCAGTACCTGACATATTTGTACAGCATAACACAGTAATGCGGTCCATCGCCTTTTTATAACCAGTCAGTGCAATGTGTTTATAGCATAAGGAACCGTCTGGCGTAGCACGATAATAGAGGCCGGTTTCATCAGCATTGTAAATGTCATCAGCACAAAAATTCTCTAAAAAAGTAGGAATTTTCGTAGTTTTCCACTGTTCGGAACTTTCCTTGTCGGCACTGCCCTTTTCACCGTGCGCTTTTTTAAATTTAATGTTGTGTCTTGTTTTCCATCGCGATAACCACCCGTCAGTTGCTTTGAAATCATTGCGGCCCAGTTTTTTAGCTAACTCCTCTGACTTCGCCTTCAATATCGGGCCGTTGATATTTACGCCTCTGCCACTAACAATAGAAAACCATTGATCTAGTGCTTCTTCGACGTCTGGATCCTTCCCCTCGCGTTTCCTTTTGGATGTTCCTGCTTGTCCTTCTTGTAAAACCAATTCCTCACGCAGTTGACTTTCTTGTCGTAAGACACGCGATATGGTAGATTTTGGTACTCCAGTTATCTCAGCGAGCCGGCGATAACTTGTATTAGGTGGCTGGCTTTTTATTTTATCTAGCAAAGCAATTTTGCTAGAAAGTGTCAAATCATTTCTTGGCATTTTGGCAAGGGTTAAATTTTTGAACAATAAGTTTATGCACTGTTCACGCGCGATGTGTATTGTGAGTGAATAAATATGCAACAATCGAAACAGTCGTCATGTACGAGGTGTAATGGTAACTGAATAAGAACGCCCTTGCGCTCGCCTGTGATGCAACGCATACACAATCAGCTGTAAGGCAACGCATGCGCAATGAGCTGTAAGACAACGCTCCGTAACAAACTTGTAATATGTACTGCGATCTTAAATTTACTGTCCCAATTAAGCGGAATGTTGTCCCAATTAAACATATAAATTTTCTATTGGCTTCTTAGTTTGGTATCTGTTCTTTGAGATTAGTCCCAAATAAGCGGCTGTCCCGATTAAGCGGTGCCCCAATTAAGCGGAGACTGTAGTATATACTTTTAAGAATGACTGGCTGAAGTGTTGTGCCATATTTGACTGACACTTTATAAATATAGCAGTGTTACATTCGAAGAGCAAAAATAAAAGCGTTTAATTCTATTGACAGGTTGATTACATAAAAATAAAGATTGAAAGCTAAAAATTTTAAAATGGTAGTTGAGTGAAAAAAGACAAGCATTCAAAACCTATTTAAAGAATAATCTGGATTAATCGGGGACAGACCTAAACATAGATTATTCAATTCAAATGACGGAAAATGGGAAGACATTTTCTTATGTTAAAGGTCAAAGTTTCTATCCGATTTATACTGACTACCAATAAGTATTTAGACACCTATGATAGAAAAGAAAAACTAACTTTATATTCAAAATCAATAGTTGGTAGAGCCTCTACGAGAGGTAATTACAGCGTGGACCCTCCGGGGCATACTTTCCACAAGTCTTTATATGACAGCTAGTGGTATTTTCTTCCACTCGGCTTGGAGAAGACATAGAAGTTCCTTTACCGATTTTGCACGGGGTAGTGCACCCCTGAATTCGGCGATGCAACTCGTCCCAGAGGTTCTCGATAGGGTTCAGGTCTGGACTCTGGGCAGGCCAGTCCATTCAATGAACTCCATTGGCACCATACTAAGCCTTATTTAACGTCCATACATGACAACTGGCATTGTCGTCCTGAAAGTAACAGGGGTCCAACCCGTAAAACTGCCACAACGTAGGAAGCACATTGTCATCCAAAATAGTGCAGTAGGCATCGGAGTTGAGCTTACCATGAATGGGGACAAAGGTTCCCAGCCAATACCAGGAGGGACACCCCCAGACCATAATTCCACCTCTGCCGAACTTGACATTTGGCACAATGCATTCTGGCAGGAGACGTTCTCCAGGTACACGCCAGACCCAGACCCTGCCATCTGAAACGTAAAGGGTGAACCTTGATTCGTCATAGAATAAAGAACCCGTTTCCTTTGATCTACGGTCCAATTTCGATGTGCTTTGCACCACATTAACCGAGCAACGCGGTTGGACTTTGTGATCAAAGGCTTATGGGCAGCAGCACGACCATGAAAACCAAGCAGATGTGCTTTCTTACGGATGGTATTCATTGAAACAATACTCCTGGATGTCTGTTAAAACTCCTCGCGGATGAGGGCCATCGGTTGGGTGCGGTTCTTCCGAATTTCTCTGGACAGCACTCGTCGGTCTCTATCACCCAGTTTCGTTAGTCTGCCGACTCGGGGCACATTCCGACAATCACCGCTCACCTTCCACTTCTTAATCACATAGGCCACTGTCGATTTTGGGTACTTCAGATCGCTAGATATGTCCCTTAAGGATCGGCCACATTTGTGATACCCGATAATTATACCTTTCTCGAATTCAGAGAGCTTCGAACTGCGAGGCATCTTGCATGCACTAAAGCCGATGCTGTTTCCTGCACGATATATAACGGCGGAGTCCGTGATGTACCTTTTAGAACCGCAGATATCGTCATTTGCATAGGTGTCGGAATACTTATTGTCAGTGTAGGTCTATTCAGAAGAAACGTTCAGCATTTTCCCCTGTTTTCACCCTGAGTGTACGCATATTTTTTGCTGGAACGATCGACAGTATTCTTAATTACTTCATTAGATTTTTATTTTGATTTTTCACCGTTTCGGGCATGAATTAAAAGTAAAGAAACAAAAACGTTACAGACATAAGTAACCTTCTTGAAAAATACTGTTTTTTAGAATTTCAATTTTAAAAAATGTTAATTTTTGAACTTACAATGTGTTCTTAATTCGTCTTTACTTTACAGATGAATTTGGTAAACAAGCCTGAGAAAGAACCTATGCCTTTGAACGATAAGGTTTTGAGCATCGGGGACTGCAACATTATTCGAACGCAAGATAGTCCAAGACAATCGATACGTGGTTAAATCCTTATACCAAAAGGGAAAGTAAAAGATATAATGCATTTCGAGAAAAAAGTATGTATTTTCGAAAAGCTTACCATATGTATTAGTAAAAACATTTTTGATAACAACTCATATGAACTAATGTATATATTTTTTTTTTTAGTTTCTTTAAACTTAGTAAACTAAACAAAGTGTTGTAACAACGGAAAATTTCGGGTATCGTATTTCAATAGAAACATCCATTGACTGTTCCCGAATCTATTTGGATTTTTTTTTTTTTTTTTTTCTTTTTTTTTTTTTTTTTGCTTGATGTCTGAACGTACGGACAGAATAAAGGACAATATTTTTCAAAGCGGATTGTAAAATGTATTTAAAATGGATTCAGAAGGAATTTTTTTTGTGATGTCTGTGTATATATACCTACGTGTATATATACTCGTATGTATCATGCATTACTCAAAAACGATTAGCCGTAGAGCGTTGAAACTCTGTTTACGAGGTGTGACACACACACACACACAGAGGGAAAAAAAAAAAAAAAAAAAAAAAAAAAAAAAAAAGAAAGAGACTGGTACAATAAATTATTGTACTTACAGAATCAGTTCACCGTGACATTATTACCTTCAAAGTAGTTCCCTTCAGCATTCACACACTTCTGCATTCGGTGCTGCCATTGCTGGTAACAATTCTGTTGGAAGGCCCTTTAGAAGATTCTCCGTTTCTGCCTGAACCTCTTCAACTAAGGTAAAATGGCTTCACTTTAAACAAGATTTAACTTAGAGGAATTAAAAAAAAAAAAAAAAAAAAATCTGAAATGTTTCAGATTTTAAATTACGCCCAAAGGGGCGTTTTTTAACATTTTGTGCGTTACCTTTCTTTATTAAATATCATGTTCCTCGCACTTAAACCATAAGATCCAGTGCAACAGCAATATCGCAAAATAGTTTTAAAACGAGCATATCTTTAGAATTTCCGATACAGAGACTCACGCGCTGGAGATAAAAATGTTTTTTCTGCACAACGTTGCCATTGCTCGCTTTGAAATCCTTGAGTTTGTTAATCAAAAATTCGTCAAAGTTTTAAAAAAATAGGAAATCGATCATAAAACAAATTTCAAATTTCAAAGTTGGTCTTCCACATGCTCATATTCGTTGGAGGATTACGTTATTCAAAATTCGATGACTCTATGTACCGTTATTATATGACAATGTGAGAAATATACATACATTTACGCAGATTTTCATTATTTAATTTCTTCAAATATAATGCAGGACTGTAACATTTTATGGCAACAGTTTGAAAAGTGAACCGACATTTATCCGTTCGACGCAAAATGCCAAAACAAAACTAATAGTCCTTCGGGATTCAAATCCCTTTGGACTAAAAAAAAAAAAAAAAAAAAAAAAAAAAAAGTCGCATGGAGCCAAATCAGGTGAATAAGGAGGATGTCCCAGCACAATAATGTTTTTGCTGGCAAGAAACTGCTTGACAAATAGGGGCCGTGTGAGCAGGTGCATTGTCCTGGTGCAACAGCCATCCATCACTCCACAACTATGGCCTTTTTTCCCTAATTTTTTTACGAAGTCTTTTTAGTACTTCAGTGTATTAGTGTTGATTAACAGTTGGACCACTTGGAACCCACTCAATCATTACAAATCCATTAACGTCGAAGAAGACAATTAACATTGCATTGAATTTTGATTGTGACATGCGTGCTTTGTCCCTTGCCCCTGAAAACCGCTTATGCCATTCAAACACATGTGCACGATACAAAGTTTCATCTCCATGAGCCTCAGTTAACATTTGAAATGTTTTCGTGGCTGATTACTTAAGTTTCACAAGAAACTTGATGTTGATTCGATGTTCGGTTTTTACATTAGACATTTTTTTCCGGCAGAATGCAGTTGCACATGTTCACTCAAAGACGCAATACTCCCAACTGGTGTGATCGGTTAAGTTGAACCTGGCAGCTTGGATAGAGGAGGTCTGTGGGATTGCCGTCACCAAGACAGTTATTGCCAACTCCACTCTTTTTCCAAGCTACATAGTTTCTTTATCTCTCTCTCTCTCTCTCTTTTTTTTTTTTTTTTTGTTTTTTGTTTTTGTCACACCTCGTTTAGGACTACTACTACATCTAATTTTGCCCTTTCTTTTTTTGTCGCAATCGGCAGTACTAAAAGTATGTGTGTTTGTATAATGGTGTGTGCATTGTATTCCATCAAATAATTAAATCTAAAATATCAGAGCGACATAGAGAAATAAAAAGCTCTGCCTTAATTTTTGAAATAAAAACTTTTACTTACACTTTAAAGTGCTATTTTGTTCGTTTCTCTGTTAGCAAAATCGTTGATGATATGCTATAAGATTTTTTTTTGTTTACAAGTAACACTGACAGCAGTTGTCAGGAAAATTCGAAGTATACTTACAATATTTTGGAATATCATTTTGGAAACTATTTTAGAACAAATTTTAAAAGTTCAAAGCGATTGTCCTTCTGCCTCACAGTTTTGATTTCTCGAGCAGTAACAAGAATAAAACTCTGTACTTTTCTATCAGTAGAGAATTCTTCGTTATTAATGTCAATATGATCATAATTGAATTGTCATTCGCATGTTCCATTCAAAACTTTCGGCGAAGTAGGAAGGCATAGCAAGAAAATGAAGCTATTGAAGTCTTTTTGTAATTTCTCTGGAACTCTGTTAACAGTAAAAACTATTCTTTCCTCAATTTAATTTCTCTCACATTTCGACAACTAGTGATTCTTCACTTCGCGCCAGTTACTGAGGGTATAAAGCGCTAGATATTAATTACTATACTAGCCGATAGATGGCAGTGCCTCTAACCTTATCGTAGTGCACTTACGCAAATGCGCGGTAATTGTCATGCGACTCTCTCGTCACTTGCCGCTGACCATGTAGCATCAAATGTCTCTCTTATGTATAAGTACTCTAATTAAATCTTATAAATAAACAGTAATTTATCTATGTTTGACGAGTCAACATATATAACAAAAAGATGACTGAATACTGGTAGTTCGAATCAGACTCAAATTTGGCTAATTCATATGGTTTACCTTAGGTATGGCGTAGGGTATGTAACGTTGTATTCATACCTGCAAAAAGGACGTGAATATGAGCCTGTGTCCCCTTTCGAAAGTGAATATGATCCAATACCCATTTTTTAAGGTCATTCGAGTAGAATTTTATCCCTACACGAAGAATTTTATCCCTACACGAAAATATTCTGCATACAAATAACCGTAAAGAACATTACTATCATCCAAATCTTCATTAAGTCTTTTTGCTCTGGAGATACATATGACTACCATTATAATATGTTTCGAACGAAAATTTGCGCTCCCAAAAGTATTCCGCCTAGGGCAAATCGCTCCCTCTAGCTGCGTCAATGATAGACTTGTCTTATATTCACTACTTGCATAAGCTTGAACCCAAGTAGTAGTTTAATGCAGGCAATTAAGACTGCAGTGTATTCATCGATTACAATCCACAAGTAACAGAGGACGATAAATTTCTCGCATTAAAGTAAGTCGGAAATGATCCATGATCTGAAAGGCATTAGCTCAAGAATTTAAAAAGCAAAATTTTGTGGCTGACTTTTAGTAGAGCATAACGTTTCATTTCTGGGGCACTGTTTCGCTCCTCTTTAAGTCTTTGCCACTAAAACTTTCAGCTGATATTTTACAGCCAACAAAAGCCTGCCGTATAGCATCGTGTATTCATGCTAGTGGTGCCTAATAGGATACTAGAACCTCCATCCATTTGTAAATTTCCTGTGACGAGAATGAATCTTTTGCTTTAAATTTATAACCAAATTTCCTTAAATGTGAATGACTACTAATATATCAACATTGCATTCACAACGTATATAGAATTTGGTTGATTCTGACAACTATTTTTTGATGCGCAAATTTTTATGGCAACGAGTGTACATTTGTATAATTTTGTGAAAAGCATTTTTAATGATTCTAGTATTTTTCGTGATCTTCGTCACTTATATTAAGAAAGAGATTTATTATCAAGACTTAAGTTTTATAAAAAATTTTAAGATTTGATAAGGCGCTTTTGAAAGCTTTGGGAAGAAATGGATTGGGAATAATGCTATTCGTTAGCAAAGATAAATTTTTATGAATATGAAATACTTAAATTCACTGCTGAAAAACATTAGGTAAATAATGATCGCAGAATCAAAATGAAAATTATAATTAACAGACACACTACTCTTAAATTATAACTAAGAAATCATCTATCATGTTTCTGCCACCTTTGTAAAAATTTTGACCTATTCGACCTACGTTTAATTTACCTCGAAGACAATTGCTTTTCTTACCTAATTTTAAATTTATATTGAAGTACTTATCTTCCACTCAAAATAGTTGCATTTGTTAAATTAGCTACATTACGTGTATTTGATAAAGGGCAGTACCTGATTATTTTCAAAATACAGGCGAATAAGTGAATTATAGATATATCGAAATAGTTATATATATATATAAATTATTTAATTATATATTAAAACAAACGCATTTTAATTATTGGAGTTGTAGAATCCAGTGGTTAAACTTCAGTTGTAGAGTCCAGTGGTTTTGAAAACTTGAGTAGCAGGACACAAGAGAAGGGTTAAAATACCCTTTATTGGCTCTTTAATATTTACAATGCGTCAACTCGACGCAAACAAACTTGGCCTCTGCTTGGGCGGTAACTGAAAAATCAAATAACGAAACTAAAATTTGAGGATATTAACACAATGATAGCCCTAAACTACAGGGCTCAGGCAGATCTCGTAACTTAAACCCCTTTCGAAGCTAGTGGCAGCAAATAAATGCAATTAAGCCACTTGAACCAGCAATAAGCAAATGTATCTACGGCAGAGGTGGCTGATAGAGCCTAACTCTCCCTTTTCTCCTACCGAAACTCGGCTTTTAAATACTTTCTTCAAAGTAGAAATTTGTATTCCTTCACGCACGCTACAAAATTTAAACATTCTGGCAGTGACAATTAGGGAAATGAAGGCTTATAGGAAAGGGTTTAAAATTAAATTTTCTTGTTAGTTAAAATAAATATAAATCCCTACAGAGTTAGTAGAAAGTTTATAATTTTTTAAAAAGGTTCATCTTGAACATATATCAACCCAACATTTGCGCGTATGCAGTCACATATTTACAAATGTCATGAAATTTATTTAGTGAGAAGAAAATTTCTTCAGAAATTGTCAAATCTGCTTAAAAATATAGGAAATTTCCTATAAGATACTACCTATGGTTCTTGATCTTCTGCGGAGTTCGTCGCCTTACAGAGACGACGCTTAGAAATATTACTTATTTGTAGTCTCAAAAGCTTGGTCACTTTTAGAGGTGATTGCCGTGACAAGCATTCGCTTTACAGACTGATGTAAGAATATTAAATTCGTTTTCTTGTTAAGTTTTTTAAATTGTCTTACACTAGAAAAAAATGATTATTTCAGTATTAATAGTAATTCTTTATCTCTATGATGTGTATTCTTCATGCTTGGGTAACAGTAAATAAAAGAAAAAAATTCTATAAAGAAACTTCTCAGTCTTATTAAATAATTTATACAGTTTATTGATTATAGATACAAATTCATTTAGGGCATTATCTCTCGACACAAATTTGTACAACATAGAAACTAAGTAAAAATATCAAAAAGGCAGTGAACAGAAGACTTGAAAAATAAGAAAAATCAATCACTTTTATATAAATGCAACAGAAAGGGAAAGCTATGTAACATATAAAATACATAATGGTATGCGTTTTGTCATGGCATTTTGCTATGAAACAACGTGAATAATTTTTAATAATTTTTATACAGTGCCTATTTATCATAGTAAAAGTTTTTTAATTTCTTTCACAAAGATAAGAAGAAAGATAAAGACAAATTTTTTGTTATGATTAAAATCTCAAAATATTTTGATAAAAATGACTTCCTTGAGAAATTTCTACTGCACTATATCATTAAATCTGAAACCTTCTATAAAAGGCAACAATATAAAACATAACAAATTTACAGCCTTAATCCTTCTATTTGTAGAATTTCAGATATCAACATTCATATAAAACTGTTCTTGATCTAAAAAAGAAATGCAATAAATATTTTTTTAAAGAAATTATTTGAATATAGGTATATGAAATAATTTTAATTAGCACAGAAATAATGAAGATTTCTACACATTATTTTGAGATATAAACAGTTCATACCAGTGTTTGAATGTTTTCCTTTTACTTAAGTTACAAACAAAATGCATTCAAGTAAAAGAAAGGCAAGTTTTTATACAGCAGGTTCTGCGAATGAAAGGCATAAAATGTTTATGACTACTTGGTAAAATGACTGATAAGCGAAACATATGATACAAAATTTTCTCCTATGCATATTTTATGTGACAAAATGAACTCCTACTCCATCTCTCAGACCACTAAATGCATTATTTCATCAAGATTAGCATAATGTTAAGCTAAGTACTTTTGTATTAATGTAAAATAAAACCTGAAGATTTCTCTCCAATTCGTGAAATTAATAAAGTTTACGGAGCAAGGTAGACTAGAAGCTACAGACAAATCATCATTTTGCAGGCATAAGTCCCACATATCCACTTACTGTGCACTTTCAATGGTAAGACTTTGGTTATGCACATATCCATTTAAGCGTAAACATCAACGAGTGGTATGAGTTATAGACTAGAATTGCAGCAAGTTTGAACCCTGCTATGTTTCTCCTTCAGCAAAACACGGAGTAATGCCGATAAAGGCAATGAATGCTTCTGGAACTGAGGGGAAATTCGTGACATGCTCATTTCAATACTTCTTTTCATGCATTGGATTCCTTCAAATTCTCAAAGTATTCAATTAATTGATCATAGTTCATACCCTGTGCAACAGCTTCCCACTCAGCATCAGTTGCTGGTCCACGAAATCTTCCCATTTGAAATTCCCTCAAATGTCTCTGATGGGGAGGGACAGGAGGAGGGAAGTTTCGATGGGGTGGAATTGGTGGGGGTGGATGAGCTGGAAATAGTTTTAAGGGGTTACCAGGTGGCAGTGGAGGTGGTACTGGATTTGTTACAATTCTAACTCTTTTCTCTCTAGAAACAGTAGAACTAGCTACATTATTTGGAATACCTGTCTGAGGAACATTGCTTGGAATGCAAGTAGATGTACCCTTTTCTAACATAGCCATTTCTTCTTCCCTTAACTCTTGTGGATTGGTAGTTATTCTGATACTAATTTCTGAACCAGGAAAAGACAAGTTACTGCTACGGCACCCACTCCCAATCTGTCTAGTTCCAATTTTCTTCTCCCGCCTTTGGACTTTTAAAGTATTAGTGTCCAAGCTGTCAGACTGGTGGTTGCCATTAAAATCTGCCATTGGTACTAATGTTTGTGAGCAGCGAGTGTTAACGGAATTCCTCTCGAGAGTTGCTCTGCCAAGCCACACCCAATCATGCGCATGAGCAACTGAATCCCCCGTAGCTGTAACTGGAGGAACCTGTTTGCGACGGTATCGGACAGCAAATACTGAACAAGAAACTAGAAAAACTAAAATGGCTAAACAGAAAACGCCAAGTAAAGCATACATTCCTATTTCTAAAGGTGTAAGGTCTGACGGATGAACAAGATTCTGTCGTGCTTGTACTGCAGGTTCATGATAGTGAGATTTTCCTCTATGACTTATGGCATCTTGATACAAAATAGAGCTAGCATCATTGGAACTAATATATGATTCCCCAGTATCACTAGCTCCTGAGGAAGAGAAAGAATCAATATGATCTGATCTTTTTCTCCCTGTGTCTGCTGAATTTTTAGATAACTTCATTCTTACATCATTCATAACCGTTTTTTCATTTGAAAAGTCAACATCAATATATGCATATGCCATTGCAAGGGGCTGGCTTCTTCTTTTCTGGCATCTTTCAGCTAATTCTAAAGTTACATGGAGTAAGTCTCCTTTTCCTTTTCCTATTGCAATGACTCGTGGATGGTGTAGTCCAGCCATTGGTGCAAAAGCAACCACTCCACTGTCAAAGGTGTCAACAGATAGGTGATAATCAGTATCCGTAATATCCGCTAACAGCGTTGATGTTCCATCAGAAAAATGTAGCTTAATATTCAGTAATCCTTCCTATAATAAAAGGCAAAATAGTAGATGATCATCAAACGAATTCAATTTTATACTATGTATTAAATTTAAACACATTTTTTTTCACTAATTTGTTTTCTATAATTATCAAGCAAAATTACAGAACTTAGTAATAAATAAGCGATTAGAAATAAATAATAAAATCATTTGAAAGTTAATTGATTTATATTTGAAAGCAACAGGCAATCCGAAAAAAAAATAAGATTGTTTTTTTAAATAAAATGGATTAGTTTATATGATACTACTAATTTTTCTCAGCTTTTGATAAAATAATTGATGTGTTAAGTTGTTATTAGTTAGTAGTTCTACGATTAGATAAGTGGAAAGTCGTAAGAGTGCTTTTCTTCTTAATTTAAACTGTAAAATTATACAGATTATTGAAAACAGTGAAAAATAAAATAACGTTTTTTGTATATGTCATATTCCTAAATTAATAGAGGAATTAAGTATTATATCCAATTTTAATTTCTTCAAAATGATCGAAAACCTGAGAAAAATTCCATAAGGTCAACTGGCAGCCTCACACTTTGGAATTGTAACTCTTGATCAAGCTGTCGAAACAAGCTAGCGATCAAGTTTTCTCTTTCTTCGGCAGAGAAAAGGAACTTGCATTACATTTAAACCGCTTTCTGTAGCTATACTCTCGCACGGATCATATCATTAGGCTGGACATATTCTCTGATTAATAGACAGTTCTGAAAATTATTAGACACTTTTTAAAGACTTGTCTAATAACAGTAAAAATATACCAGTGGATTTCTGGTCAATTTGGAATCCAAGGCAGTGAAATGGCTGTCTAGCTTACTGAAGAATAAGCCATGGTTATTCAAATATTCCCTAACGAGATCAAATCCAATGCGGCTGAGTGAAAGGTTTTAATTTTATAGAGAAATTCGCAGACATCAAGGTGAAGCAGGATTTCATGATGATTTACATAAATTTAAAATGCCCAAGGAGGACAGCAGTTATGGGGTTCGATCTTTTTTATAGACTACGATTCCTTTTCTAAATAGCTACAGCATTTCAGTATTGCGTCCAGTGCATTTGTAAGTTTTTGGCAGACCTGTAAATGTTGGACCTATTTTACCGCAAGCCTTGCTTTCTTCAATCCTAATGCTTTGGAATGGCACTGAGAAGCGAGAAACTAGGTAGATTTAGGGACCTTTTCTTTGCTATCCCCTATTTTCATTTAACAATTACGCACAGGAAAAGTGGTTCATTAATTTGCAAAAAGTGATATGATTAGTGAATTTTGGAAAATTTTTACCATCATCGAAACAATAAAAGCATAAATTTGATTTGCTATTCATATAACTAGAAATATAAACATCTCAGTTACAGCATTATCATTTCAAATAAATGAATCGACTTAGTACTATAAAATGTGATATCTGTCTTGCATAAAATCAATTTTTAAAGTGCATGAAGTAAAAAAAAAAAGTAATTGTAATAATAGCGTCAAATATTAATATCCGAGCAATTTCAGTGGTAAGTACAAAAGAACTCAAACTGGGAACACTTTAAAGGTATAACTTTTTATCCTAGTCACTTTTATTCTATGGACCCCTTGGGGGTCAATGAAATTGCGCTATATCTGCTCTTGATACATCTATGGTACAAGAAAAGATTATTACTTTGAAAAAGGATGTTAAAACACAAGTCTTAGCGCAATAAGAATCTATAATTTTGTTCCTGAAAATTTGTTTACAGTTCTAAAATAAAAAATAGCGATAATAAAAAAGTAATAAAACCAAAAATCTAATAAAAATTTTTTTCAAAACTTTCGTTCAGACTCTTAGTCTAATTGCTATCTATATGTATGCTACGTATAACTAATTGTATTGCGTATGCGCAGGTTCGTATTGGATTGAATGCATACAGAACCGATAATAGCCGAATAAAATTTATTCCCCTCCTCCCAAAAAAACATTAAGTTCTGAAACATCCACAAAAGTACTCGTACAGCTCTTCTTATTAGGATAGAGCACAATCAGTAGTTACTACTTCAAAGGACGTCAAACACAAAGAAATGCAAAGTGCATCTAAAGAGCGAAGCTCGCACGGAAATCACTCAATACTCAGAAGTCAATTCTGAACTAAAAATCTACTCTGAGAACTGATGCTCTCCGGTCTTACATAGTTTTCCCTCAGCTGCCGAGAAATTTTCAGTGCTTTTACTAGAAGGCATATATGGTTGCAGTTACATATAAGGGCCGCATACAGTTACAGTCATATAGGCATTTAGGTCACTTACAATTTCACAGAGACGGGAGAAAAGTGTCACCAAATGGGCGTCAAGTTTGGCGACTTTGTGCGATGTCTCGCCAAATTTGACAACAAATATTAGTTACCACCATGAGGCTATCTCGCCGATTTGCCGAGATCGCTACATTATACTGGTTCTATTTGTTCCATTATATAAGTAATACAACGGTTTTATGTATAATTTGGCTAAAATTATTTATATGAATACAAAATTTGTAACAGTATTATGATTATGTTGTAAGATGTATATTATAGAGAAAAATATAAGAAAGTCAATGAAGAAAACATTCTTTAAAAAAGGGTCGATCCAAGAAAAAGTTCGGGAATATGTTCTAGAGCTTCCAAACTTTATCATATTTAAACTATTAGCAACGTTGATTAAAATTTAGATACTTCCATATCATAAATTACTATTTTAGGAATTTTGGAGAAAGGATTTTTTTTTTTTTTTTTACATTTTGACAAGATGTATCACATTAGCACATTTTTATTAATATACTAATTAATATTAATACAGTGTGTAAGGTCGCACTTGACCTGGTCATGTTAAATTAGCTCTATAACCCAACATACGTGAAGTAAATTATCGCTATATTTGAAACAAATTCTTGAGGAGGTTGAAAATAACATTTTTTATTTAAGCAAAAGTTAGAACATAAAGGCACTCTCTTGTGCTACAATATAACCACAACTCATGCTGATGCAACTAAATAGAAAAGTCAAATTTAAGTTAAACGTGGAACAGTTGTCAAAGACTATGTAATGAATTACTCTACTAAAACCGGCTAATTACTCGATCGAAACGTCAGAATGAAAATGCCTGTAGCGAGAAAACGCAAAGCCAAATAATTGCAACTATCAGGGCTGGCAGGAAACTAAGACGTCGCGTGCACGCGATGCCATAAACATGCTCTGTCTTAAAACCCAAAAACGTCAGTTTAAATCCTGGCTACTTATTTGCATTCTGGTGAGGAATATGGAAAGAAAAAGTTATAGTAAAGGCTGAAATTGTAACTGACAGGTTAATTACTGTAAAATTTCCCTACAAGTATAAACAATTAACATAATAAGTAAGTATGTAATATTGTGTCCATAAAAATTTCTTACCCGGACTTTATTTTAGCACCCACTGGCAGTAAGCTTACATTTTCAGTTACAAAAAGTTTTTAAATGCAGGTATTCCTGTTTTGACATTTATAAATTAAAAAAGTTTTCTTTTAATTACAAAATTTAACTTTTCATTCTTTTCGTAGGTTTCTATAATTATATTTATGAAAATTTGATAATATTGTTTTATAAATAATACAACAGAAAAAATATCATTTCCATACGAAAAAAAAAGAATAGATTTCATTTTAAAGACAATGTTCGAGGGAATACACAAATGGAAGAGTGAAATAATTGCATTTTCAGGTAACTAGGCATAAAACATTGAAAGATTTCTAAAGTTAGAAAGATTAAGAAAAAGTGATTAAGAAATAGATTAAGATCGGAAGATTGAGTGATGAACTTTCCTATGTAGATTATCGTGAAACCTACTGATGATCGTAAACTTTTTCAAAGAGGAAATCTTATTTCACAGAAACCAGTACTTGCACAGAGCCAACTTAAACCATTATTTGTAAAAATTTTAATATATATATATATATATTTCTAGTTAAATGAATTTTTTATGATTATTAGATTTTGATTCAAAATTAATAAAACCTCATGAAAATATTAATAACGTATATTTAGCATTTGAAAACTCGTAAATTATTTATGAGCAGATTCTTTTGGCGTACTAGTTGTAGAAAAAAAAACGATAAATTAAGGAATCTCACATAGTAATAAATCACGAAAGAGTATCATTGAATGACATTTAAGGTGAAAAAAAGAACCTCGAACTATTCTACTTTATTTATTAGGCTCAAAGTAAATTAAAAATGACGTCAAACATCCAAAATTTTAAAATTAAATATATGGGTCAGTTTTTGTCGTAAGGAGTTACACTTTTTATTTTTAATTTTTGACGATGGATATCATAGTATTTTTCTAACTAGAACACTTCCCTAGTAAACCGCGGTCAATTATAAAAAGTTAAATTTCGTTATTGTTAAAAAGTTAATTTCTTTAACTTGAAAATGCCAAAAACTGAGCATTTGTATCATTTAAAATATTTTTATAGTGGAAGTATCTGTCTATGACTAACGACTGGCAGGGCCTTCCTAGCGGGGATGCAGCGCGTAAAAGTACGCGGGCGGTCAAAATCTAAGGCAGCCGGACTCCGCTATACCACGCCTAAATATTTTAAAATTCATTAAATTCATTGTAAGTACTTGTTATGTGTAGCTACTTTTTATACAATTTGTTATATGTAAGTACTTAATGAGTATGAAGTAAAATTTTATTAATCATTGAGCATTTTTTTTTAAATCTGGGGGTGGCAATCTTTGGAAAATACGCGGGCAGCCAATGGCCTAGGAGCGGCCCTGATGACTGCGAAAACAAAGATCGAATAAGAACTTTTATGGCCACGGTGTTTATTAATGTATTCTACCCTTTCAGTGTATCAAAGATACAGAAAAATAAAAATATTTAAACTTCAACGATTAAATTCCTTAAAATTAAAATATTAAATATTAATTCCAAATATAATACGCATTTGTTAATCATAGGTTTTTACTTTCTGAATAAGATTGTATTTTTAGAGTCCCTTCTTGTGTATCCTAAATAAATTCTTCTAGGAAACTTAACTGAAATTGAAAAAAACATAGCCAAGAATTGTTGTTCGGGAAAAATGTTCAGTCAAAATGAAATAGAGTAATCTAATTTTTCCCTTAGTAATTCATTTCTGCCTTTAATAGCAATTACCATCGTTTATTATGAAAAATGGCATGCCTAGCGTTCGTGATGGAAACGGTGTTCGGCCATACAGCTGAATCACAAAAGGATGATAATTTTCAGTGCTATTTATAATCGCAGAGAACTTTGAATTCTCCAGCTGTAGTTTATTGCGTCGCAATGAATGTGCTCAGTTTTATGAACGAAAGAACATTCAATAATTACGCACAGTAATGCGTTGCACTAAAAGTTTTATTTTGCAAAACTTTCAGATTTTTCCTATTAGTTTTTGCGTCGCGTTTTCGCTCTGCATTAATTGTAAATAATTAAAGGACGGAGAAGTAAAGAATCTCCTTTGCCCGAATTTAATTTTGATCAATGAGCGCCTACATATTCATCAGACGTTTAAACTACTGTCAGATTGGACAATATTTTCCTTCAACCCATAGTTAAACGCAGTTTTTGGTTTCTTTACTTCCAGAAACAATTCTTTACTTCCAGAGTTTTAAACAGTTTGGTTATGTACAGGTTGTTAGTTTCCGTGATCCTTCTTTTCTTCTGATTGATTGCTATACGTGAAACACAACATCGAATAAAATTTTTTTTGCCGTCCTCTTAAAACAGAGGCTAGAAACATTCCATTCAAATTAGTTGTGGGAGGGAACGTTTTTTCAGAAAGATAATAATGTAAATGTGATATGGCTTTTATGATCTTTGTTCCATGTATAATCGATGCATTTTTAAAAGTCAGCTCTTATTTAATGTCCTGCCAAGATGTTTTGCATTCGAATTTTCGTGCGAAAATAATTTTCCTTTTAAATCGATCTTTTATCCCATGTTGACGAAAAATCGCAAGAAAATGTTTTTTCCAACGTTTAAAAAAGAGTCTCCACTTTATAAATGATGTCATACAGCGATAGCAGCGCCCTCACCGGAAGTAAAAAGTTAGTTAGATGCTAGACGAGAATGGCGTATTAAGCCATATCCTTTGATTTGTAGAATTTTCCGTATGTTGATTAATTAACTGTACATATTGTAAATAAATATTTAACTTAGCCTTGTCGAATATAGATCGATTATAGATATAGATATGATGTTCTTCATATAGAAAGATTTTAGATACGGTAAAGTTTTGCCTTAGAATAAGAACTCGCTTTCGCAACAATAAGCTAGTCGCTTATAGTGGAAAACTGAACCATCTTTAACACAAGATCCTCAAGATCGACTTGGATAACTGTGTCAGAAGATATTGCCCTTAAAAATGTCTAATAAAACTCAATAAAACAGTTCGACGTTAAATTTTTTTGAAATAATTTTTTAGAATTATGTTCCAATTTTCTAAAATCTAGGTAATTTTATAGAGATTTATGCAGAGATTTTATAACAGTTTCTAAAGGTCTCAATCTTAGAATCTTTTGTAATGTGTATAGAATCAACTATTAGAATTCTACTACAAATATCAGATCAAGTTTAGAGAAAACAGAGCCATTATTCAAAAGGATTCTTGACACTTTTCCATACTTTAATTTTCCATAAAAAATCATAAAGAAGCTTTTGAATATTTATAAGCATTATAAAATCAAGAAGATTTTATTTTGGTATTAAAATGAATGAATTAAATTTTCATTTTTCAACAGAATATTTTAACCAAATTTTGAAATTGATATATGACACTGAATAAAAACTTTCAGAACAGATGTGATTTTTTTTTCTAATAAAGAATTTAAAAAACATTTTAATGTAAAAAATATTTAAATAAAAATAAATTCAGTTTAAGTAACAGTTAAGTTCAATTAAAATTCATAAACTATTTCTCTTTTCAGAAGTATATAGGCAATAATTGAAAGGACTAATTTCAGGAATAAAAATTTATAAATAACAGAATTAAATTCAATCCTTTAATTTATTTTAAGTTAAATTTCATGGTTTCATAAGGTTTCATTTTGTATTATGTAAGAAATATTGTATAAAAAATTGCGCAAAATGTTAATTTTAAGGTTAAAAAATCTTAAGCTACAGAGAAAAAAAAAAAAAAAAAAAAAAAAAAAAAAAAAAAAAAACATTAAAAACTATTAAACACTTCTGAATAAAGTGTATTTCTTTTTTGTTGTTTTGTATCACTTATAGCAATGATTTCAAACTCAAATTGCATGCGGGTCTGAAAAGAGCCCTTCACGGTCTAAAAAGGCAAGAAAATGTTTTTAAAAACATTTTCAACAAAAGAAAAATGAATTAAGATTTGAATTTCGCTTTCTAAATATTTATAAAAATACATAAACAATAATAATAACACAAAAGAAAAAATTCTAATTTATATTTATTTTCTCTCCGAAGTCTAAAAGTTGGTACCTACCAAAAATTTCTTTTGACAATAATTTGTATATCAAACGGACAGACATCTAAATATTAAGATTTATTTAGCTGCCTTTTAGCTTGACGTTTATTTCAGGTAATTCCAATATGTTGAATAACTAAAAAACTTACTATAAATCTAAGCTGGAAACACCAGAATAGAGAAGGGTTACCAGCTGTCGGCTAGCAAACTAAATTTACTCACTGCACCAATGAGGAAATTCTTCCACCTTACTTCAGACACGTGGCCTAGCGTATAAGCCTACAGTGGCAAAGATAAATCCGTAATCTATGCATTCTCTCTTTTTACCTTCAATAGCAGTTGTGCACATAAACTCAGTCCATATCTTTAGTGTCTCCAGAACTGTAAGCACGCACCGTATTTGCAACTAATACGTACTGAAATGTATTCGCAAGTCGCATAAAATTGACTTAGGGACCCGCGAGTTTGAGACCACTGCCTTATAATACACCAGAATCGGAAATTTGCTTTGATTACAGTTTGAAACACTTTGAAAATCAGCATAAAATAATATTCTGTAAAGGATTTATAATTTTTTTCTTTGAATTTGTAAATGAGTACTTCTATAAAATTTTATAAACTTCCTGAAGAATTTTATAGAGCAGCATTTCTATACAGCAGGGATCTACAAACTTTATCGAGAGGGAACCTTAGAACTAAAAGATTTTTTTCGGGGAACCTCATCCCACCATTAGAAAAATAGATCATAAAATAATACTTAAAGAAGATCAATATGTTACAGATACTTTATGCAATGATAATATTTAAAGTATATCAATACAAGTATTGAGTAATTACAATACAAGTATATAAGAGTATAATACAAGTATATAAGAGTAATTAAAGAAACGTATTGCATTTTTAATTAAAATATTTTAACATAAAATTAGTGTAATTTACTTACTAACAGTATTAACCACATGCTCCAGGTGTCACCTAACTTTGTATTATATTTAGTGACAAGGCTCTTATTGCATTTGTTTACACAAACTGTCGAAGTCTAGCTTTATTGATGTTATCTGCAGTCGTATTTCATATTCTGCATTTAATTTGTTCCACGTACGTATTACGTATACGTTCCACGTATGTTTTGTTTCCACGTACGATGAGAAAGATTTTTCGTTTAAATATGTTGTTCCAAATTGCTTTAAAATATTTATAGTTGTGTGATAAACTTCTACGAATTCTTCTCAAATCTACAACCAAAAATTTAGGAGTTACTCGCTTAAATTTGGATTTTAATGTCGAATCTGTTGATATGTCTGTAAGTTGTTCCCTTATCGCATTACTCGAACGGATTTTTTTTATCCAGTTAGACTTAATTTTTTGCTTTTGGGAAATATTCTTTTATAGTTTTCTTCAGTTGAAAAAGCTGCTCCATTCTACAATTTTTAACACTCTCGTCTAAATTCAATTAATTTTCCATTAGCAAACTGTTTGGTTTTGCACAGCATGCTCTTTGACATATGATGACCATATGCTAAGTTTTATTTAATTTCTTTTCAAATTTTTGACTTGTGGGACCCTGAGTATTGACACACGGAATCCCAGGGTTCCACGGAACACAGTTTGAAAACCACTGCTATATAGTATCACCTATGGAGTTGTATAGGAATTTCTAAAGAGCTCAGTCAGCTTCTGTACCAAATTTTAGTCAGGTATGCATAATTGGATATTCAGAGCATTAGGCGTCATGAAATTAAGGGGAATCTAAATGAAACCTCGCACAGCTCCATTTCTAACACTTCAAAAATACTCATATGAATCCACATCGTGTTTTCTCACTTTTGATTAGAGAATCTAGTTCACATGGGTAGTTAAATTTGATCATTTTATATATGTATATTGGGCCATACGCTATCAAATCTTCGCAGAAATATGCCTATGATAAATCCCTTTTTGTTAAAATATTCAACATTTTTTTTCCCTCGCAGTTGGGTTAACTATCAGTGAACGATGGAGAAACCAAATAGCTTCTAAGTTAAGGAAATTATTCCTGGAGAAGCGTGAGTTTAATCTTCATAGAATTATCTTTCAAATATTTAGGCACAATTTTAGAAATAATATAATTGTGAAATATATACTTCCTAAGCATCATAAATGTGGAGAATCGTTTCTTAATGCTGTAAAGTCTTATTACTGTAAAAGCGTAATTTATTTGCCTTATTTTCAACATTTGTTGCTGTACGGAACAGAAAAGGAAGTTAAACCTTTATTTCAAAAGAAATTATATTACTATTCTGTTATGTAAGCAGAAAGTATTCTTCATTTTCAGACATGTCAAATACCAAAATTTGAAAATAGGATTATGTTCTTACTTGATACTGTGATGTTAATTTGTGGTTTACACTTGTTTGCGCTATAAAAACACCAGGCAAGGACTCGTCTGGTGTTACAGTCAATTGCAGCCCAGTCACAACTGTTACTTCTAAATGAGTAATAGTTTCTTTGTCAGTACCAACACGGACTTCTTTAGCACCACTAACTCTTCCAGTGATAGGAGATAAAACCTTCAAGAAAAATAATCAATTTTTAAAAGCTAATGACAATTTGAAACAGCATATTAATAAACAATACATATAAAAAAGCAGTTTACTTTTACAAATATGCAATACAAAATACCTTGGGGACAAAAATAATGCAGAATGCTTTTCGAAACTAATGATGTCACATATTCTATTACGTATGTACATATTAATGTAAATATTTTTTATAATTTTGATTTTTATGGATTTTATAATGAAATCTATTGTTTTTATTCATTCATTCATTTAATAGATTTTATCTAATAATTTTATTGTATCCTCTCTTTAATATTAAATAATGAAGAATGTGTATGTTTATATGCACCTCACAATGTTGAAAAACGGTGGCACCTAGAGCCACCAAACTTTCAACACTCATAATTCACTACCCAATATGTACATGTTGAAACCCAAATCTTGAATTTCTGTTTCTTTAAATTAAATTAAATTAAATTTTATGTTTTTTGGGCAAATGTAATAAAATTCTGATGAACAAACTCAGTGATTTAAATAAAATTTGTTGCCTTTCAACAAAGCGTAAGATAATTGTCTTTTATATTTAATCAACAACCTCAGTGATTTAAAAGAAACGTGTTGCCACTTCCCGAAATAAAATGTTTTTATGTTCCACGCGCGCAGATGTGGTTTTATTTAACAAAACATCAGATATTTTATTTTGCTTTGAAATTGAAGGTCTGTTATTGATTAACAGATTAAATTCAGAAATATCGCGGCAGACGAGGACAAACCCAACGCCATCGCTGCTAGCGACTTCCTAACGCACAATCTCTGAGTAACTATCCGCCTAGATCAAGGATGTCAAACTCGCGGCCCGCGGGCCGCATACGGCCCACAACAAATATTTTTGCGGCCCGGCTAATATATCGGCAAATAATAAATATAATAATAAATAACATCTCGACGAAGAAAAAATGAAATGTTACTGCTAAGTAATTAAACGATTAATTACAGTGTTGTTAGAATTACTCACAGCGAGAGACACACACATACTTAAATTACAAATGCGTGGAGTAGTAGCTTGCGTTCAGCTCCTTCGGCTTTTGGGGGACACGTGAGCTCAGAACTTGTACGCATCAACCGATAGCCGAATGTGGCCGAAATCATGGTCTCGTTTTCCAATCTAGTTTTGTACGATATATGGTGCATGCATGTGCATGCACTTTGCTTTATTATTTAATATTACTAATTCATATTGTTACGGATTTAATAGTTATTTATTTAATTAGTTTTTTATTAGAATTGTAATTGATTTGCTTCATGTTGCCTTAGCAACGCAGACGATTTTGAAAAGACAGCTGCGTTGGAAGGTTAAAAATAGAACAGCGCGTGCATTTAATAATACCTAATAAATAAATATCTCGTAATTGCTGTTGCCATCCACAAAAATCCAGATATTTATAGATGTTTCCAGAATATTCGAGAAAATAATTATAAAGCTTATAAAAGCCGAGAACAAAACAACTCATCTCAGTAGTAGCGTAGCTGTAGTTTTAGCGAACTGTTTGTTTACTTAATGCTGTGATTGATTTGTAGCGATTTCGCTGTGAGATAGAATTAGTTTCTCTGTTTTAATTTTTTTGCTAAACGTTTGACATTTTGTGATATTTTTAGAAATTTTTGAAGAAATATTTAGCATTTTGATTTATCTGTTGTGGAAAGAAAATAAATTTTTGTTAACTTTTAACGTAACCGTGTTTATTCCAGCCCTTTGAATTCAGTATGTCTATATCAAAACCAGTGGTAGTAAAAATTAAACAAAAATCGCTGACGAACATAGAATATTCCAAGTAAAATGGGAATTAGAATATTTTTGCTATGAAATAAAAGATAAAATCTGCTTGATATGTAATAATACTATTAATGTACCAAAGTTATAAATATTAAACGTCATTACGAACAACACAAATCGAAATATACAATTACGAAGGATTAATGAGAGAAGAAAGTTGAAAGAGCTCAAGTAGGAGTGAAAAGCAACAGTCCATGTTTAGTAAAGTATTGCAAGAAAGTGAAGCGGCGGTACATGCAAGCTACGTCTTGTCCGAGTTGATAGCCTAAACATTCGAAGCCTTTTACTGACGGTGATTTCATCAAGGAATGCCTAATGAAAGCTGAAGAAATTGTTTGTCCTAGAAATGTTAAGGCTTTTTCAATCAATTTCATTGTCTCGAAATACAGTTGCGGAAAGAGTTACTGATTTAGCCGCGAATTTAAGTGATCAGATCAAAGCAAAATCATCTAGTTTCGAAAGTTTCTCCATTGCCTGTGACGAGGCACGGACATTAGTGGTAAAGCTCAATTAGCAGTGTTTCTTTTCGTTTTGTGACAAGAATTTTAACATTTTTGAGGAATTACTGGAACTAATACCGATGCCTGGTACTACCACAGGAGAAGATATATTTACTTGTGTTTTTGGACTTCTGCAGAAATACAACCTACCTTTGGCAAAATTAGATTCTGTAGCTACAGATGGCGCTCCATCAATGACCGGGAAAAACAAGGGCTTCGTAGCATTACTAAGAAAAAAAACTTAGTGAAATTCACGGTTCTAACATTCATCATATGCATTACACATCAAGAAGTTCTATACACGAAAGTAATAAATAAATATGGAGAATGTTTTGTCATATATAAAAAAGTTATAAATTTATAAGATCTCGAGGTTTAAATCAGCGTCAATTCACTGCTTCTTAAGTGAGTTAGATAGTGAATATTCGGGTTTGTCCTACTATACCGAGGTACGTTGGTTATCTGCTCCAAGATTCTCAAACAATTCTGGGATTTGAAAGAAGAAATGTTAGTTTTTAAAAACGAAAAATCAAGACGTAAGTTTGTTTTACGATCCAATATGGATAAGATTTATCTTTCTGGTTGATATAACCAAACACTTAACCGATTTAAATTTATCGTTACAAGGAAAAGATCATATCATTACGAACTGTTTGACATAATTAAAGCATTCAAATGTCAACTAGTTCTTTGGGAAAAAAAACAACTTAAAATGAAGATTTGACGCACTTCCGACGTGCAACATGAACAAATCAGTTTAGATGACACTGGTTCGTATCAAAAATACGCAGAAAAAATTGCAAATTTAACAACTGAATTTGAAACGAGGTTTAATGATTTTAGTTCCCTCGAAGACAATTTTTTTTGTTTCTTCGATTTTCTCAATAAGTATTGACTCAGTACCCAGCCATATGCAAATGGAGGTGATCGGGATTCAATGGCAACTCAAATTTGAAAGCAAAATTCATTGAAGTGGGCGTGCCTGAATTTTACAAATATTTACCACCAGATTTGAAAACACTCCAAAATTCGCATATGAAATTATTCCATGTTTGATAGCACTATCGGTGGCGAGCAGTATTTTCAGTCATGAAAGGTAATAAGTCTTCTATCAGAAACCGTATTAATGATGCTCACCTTGGGTCAGCGTTGAAAGTTATCACTGCAAACAAAATTTCCTCCCGAAATAGGAAAGATAATAGCAGAAAAGAGATGTCAAGTTATCCAGGACGTAACATTAATTTTTCTTGTTCTTTCTATATAAATTATATATATATATATTTATTATTGTATTATTCGAAATAAATCTACGTTCCTATGAATATTGATTTTTTTTGCGGCCCGCCTAAAGTTAAACCTTGTTTGTTTGGCCCAAGTGTACCTATGAGTTTGACATCCCTGGCCTAGATGTTGCAAATGCAGCATTAACCATGAGTCCTGGTGCTTCCTAACATAAGTGCGTAAACTCCCTAGGGAAGCATACCTCAAACTGGAGTTGTTGTAAGCACTTTTCTAGACCAAAACTCCATCAAGCTCTACAAAGTCACACTAAATACGAGGATAGATTCATGATCGATAAATTTTACGTGCAACCAGAAGAGACAAATATCATTGCAGATAGACTGTGAAACACAATTACTGAAGCAAAGAAAATCTTTCAAGTCTCATTCTGCTACCGCAACAAACTGCCGACCTGATCGGTATAGTGGTCAATGATAATGGTTGCGATACCGAAGGCCCGGACTCGAATCTCGAAGAAAACATGGGTGTTTGTAAGTATTTTGTCTATGTGGACTAACAGCACAAAAGTAATAGCAAGCCGAAAGTACTCTCGAGTAATGTTGTGTTAGGGAGAGAGGTGTGGGAGACCCTTGACTGTTCCCCGAAGTGCTATGTATCATAACTGAGGAGGAGAGGAACAGTTAGTTAGCTGCGACTATTGCTTGTACAATTTAATGGTAGAATTCTGGTTTCCCACTCATTTGTGCCTGTATTAGTAAACTAGCGAAAATGTCTTTCTAATTATTAAGATTTACTAAATACTAAATTTTGAGTATAATCATCATTTTTCGCAGTTTCTCTCCAGCATAAAAGTACCTTAAAAATATTGATCACTGAGTTTGTAAGCATCAAATATCCCATTCCTGGATGATCCCATGGTGCTATCAAAAGCGCTAAAATTTGTAGTATTATAGCTAGAATTATACTTTTAGTATTTAAACTAAACAATAAGCATCAAAGGCAAATCTTCTATTAGTATTAATTATTAGCTGGCTCATTAATTATTAGCTTAAAGCTTAAATTACACAGCTGGACTCATTAAAACATCGTTATGTATATTTTTCTTTTTTATAATAATATTTTAGGCGGTTGATCGTTTAAATGAATTTGCTTGTAAGTTTTCATTTCGTGCAGTTATTTATTCAGTTTGTAAATAATTATTTCGTGTATTAAATTGTAGAACTTGAAATTCTGAAAAGATTAATCTTTGAATTGTAAGGAGTGTTCAAGCTGAGCCCCAGATACAGACAACCCGCCTGCTGGACCTTGGCGGCAGCTCTTCGTCAGTTTTTCGTAACAACTGTTTGTCACTAAGCGGGTCACATTTGTCGATTTCCCACCAACTTGAAAACACTGTAGGAATTTCCGAAAAACGTATTTTGAAGCCCTTAATGCTATTTTTCTCTTGCTTTCTTTAAATTGAGCAATTATATAAATAGGGTATTGCAAGCAGCTGACAGCAATTGGGCCAGTTGTTCAATCTAGAGTCGTGCGACTGTACTGGGTTTTGCTACGTGACTGCTGCTTGGACGTTGCTCTGTGAGTGATATTTGATGATATTCCTCACATATAAAGGAGAATATGCCTTGTGAATCGTGAGTTATTTATGGCTGCTTTATCTTGTTCCATGAATTTTATTTTCTTCAATAAACTTTCAATTCGTTCCTGTTCATTTAGCGTAGTTATTAAAGAGATTTCTATGAGCGTGTAGCTGGCAAAGATATTGCCTTCAAATATTAGTTTTGATAAAAGTATTATGCGAATTGTTAATAATATTCTAATACCTGAACTTCTGTTCTTCCACTTTGCATGCCCCGAACTATTGTTCCTTGGAGTGTTGCAATACGCATGTCAGCCACACGCAAAAACGGAGACACCAACTCCGTTATGCGCAGTTCTGCTTTTCTACTCAGAAGATATGATTCCCTTCCAGAGTTGTGATCCACACTGAAGAACCTTGTATATACTTCAATATTTCCTTGCTGATACCTGAGTCTGCATACAATATCAAAATCCTGAAAAAAAATAAAAATAAAAACATACTTAAATATTCTTTAAAATAATTCATTTAACTATTTTGCCAGAAATTTTAAGTACCGCAAGCAATATAAAAGCGCGAATAATTAGAAATATAAATAATTTATAATAGAAATATAAATACGCGGGTAATATAAATACACCAATAATATGAGACAGTGATATAAAAGTAATGTAAAAGTATAGTATAAGAATAATATAAAGTAATATAAAGCGCGAGTAATATAAGGCAAATAGATATAAACTACAAGTAATATAAAGCAATATAAAGCCTGAGTAGTATAAGATAAATATGAGTACGCGAGTAGCAAGTAATAAAATGTATAGTATAAGTAAACGAGCAATATAAAATGTAAGCGCCATCTAGTGGCGCTACTCTGTCGTCTCTCTCGACTTCCTTTACGGTATAAATATGTTCGTAACTTGGTTTTTTATTTGCAGATTTCTTTGCTCCTAATGAAGAAGGACTTTGTTCGCCCTCGAAATCGATAGAGTTTTTATGCTAAAAATCTACGTCTAACACAGGTTGTTGCTTCACTTTTATGATTTATTTGAGGAGTGTTTCTCTTCTGTCTTGATTAACCTTTTTATTTAATCCGAACTTATAACATAAAAGGCACGACTCGTGCTACAGACAAGAACTACTACTTTTAGTGATGTAAATTGAAACAATAACAATCAAATAAATTTAAACGTTGTCTGTAGTTAATAAAGTAATAATAAAGTAGTCTAAGACTTCACATTCAAATAAGTTGGCTATAAGCTGTACAAAAGTCGGGATAATCACTTTGGAAAATTAGAAAAGTTTTTAAAAAAGCCGAGAAAAGGCTTCAATGCTTTCTTCTCAAATTTACTGTACGAAAAATTTTTTAAAATATTCATCTTAAATATCTCCCCACTCTAAAGATTTATACTAAAATTTGATGGAATCTTTCCGCTTCAATATTGACGATATCTATCAAGTACAGCAACCATATTTATTTCCTTTAACAATATAAACTTTGCCACAAGAACAAATGTTTCAACTGGGGTTAAAATTTCTAAAAAAATATAATTAAACGATAAGTATAAAACTTAAAATTTTGTATCAGAATGAAACTTATATAAAAATATTTTATATCGAAATTAAAAGCCATTATAGAAATTATTCACTTAGATAAAATTAGACAATACGTTTAGCCCGCACCAATACATTAATGGCATTCTAAATTGAGGGGGAAATTTTATTGGAAAGGGAAATATTATGTATCTACAAACTTAACGTCTGAAAACAAAAGTAATACAATTTTCTTATACTAACTTCTTTATCTATCCATCGATCATTTTTTGCCAGTGAAGAGGTAGCAAAGTTTGATCTATGACCAGCGTTACTTCGACCAGACTGAAAGCCGAGGCTTGTTACTGGCTTCCTAGAAAGATAAATGGGAATGCTGAAATACCATAAACCTCCAATCACAGAAAAAATACATCACATTTAAGCAGTTTAATAAAAACTCAGACAATCTCAGTCATTACAACATCGTAATAAAAATATTTGTTATTTGCGCATTAACTGCCATCACAATTTTAGCCACTGGCGCCAAGGCAGGCCGATAACTTGCCAATAAATAGCGCCTTTTCTCTTGAAACTATGTCTTTAACTTTCTCCATTCACATTTTCAATATCCTTGACGTATTCCATTTTCAGATAAAGTGAATATTTGATATTTTCGAAACAACGAAGTCATTCGCATATTTTAGGATCACTGAATTTACCAATCAGTCTGGAATGAATATTTCCTTAGTATCTCCTCCCCTCAGCTATTCAAACGTCTCTAAAAGTCTTCTTGTCAATGGATTTCGCTAAAATAACAGTGCTACACAGTGTTTCACGCAAATATCGCTAAATGATCAGCAGTCCTAATTATGATGATTTATAATCCGTCCATCACAAAAACAGCCTTATTTCCAAACAGTCTGGAATATGCATTTACTTATTATCTCCTCAATTATTCAAACGGCTCCAAGAGCCTTCTTGTTAATGGATTTCTCCAAACGGCAGTCCTACTCAATGTTTCATGTAAACGTCGCTAAATGATCAGCAGTCATAATCAGGGTGACTTATAAACCGTCCATTACAAAAACAGCCTTATTTCTGAACACTCTGGAATTGGTATTTACTTATTATCTCCTCAGCTATTAAAACGGCTCTAAAACGGCTCCTTCTTGTTAATGGATGTCGGTAAAACGGGCAAACCAATGCTTCACGTAAACGCCGCAGAGTCCAGTGATCAGCTGAGTCCTAATCACGGTGACATGTAATCCGTCCATCAAAAAAACAGCCTTATTTCCGAACAATCTGGAATGTGTATTTACTATTTCCTCAGTTATTCAAACGGCTCCAAATGTTAATGGATTTCGCCAAAACAGCAATCCTACTTAATGCTTCACGCAAACATCGCTAAATGATCAGCAGTCCTCATCACGGTGACTTAGAATCTGTCCAATACGAAAACAGCCTTGAACAGAGTTCCTGCTTTGGCTCAAACCATCAACAAGCGGTCTCTTGAGGACTTTAAACAGCTCGGGTCACAATAATAAGGACATTATGGAGAATGTTCTAATTGACATACAGTTAGATAGTACATAGTGCAAGAATATATTCTGTGATGATGTAACATTGAAAACTTTAGACAAATGGTTAGAATGAGACCATTAATCTGGTTCGAAGGAGGCCGATCACATTTCAGTCAGTTTTATAAAATGTTGTTGCAATAACATTAATTAAATTTTGTGAGCAAGAACTAGATATAATAGATCAACTATCTTCAAGAAATTTGCTTACAAAAATACAGCGAGGATCGAGTCTGAGCTAGCTTAGTTATTCAGATCCGATTATTCAGATCACTGCTAAAATTACTCTAATGCCAAACAAAATATCACTGTATGAAAAAAATATCAATGCTAATACACATATTCCAAATATTTAAAAAAATATATACGATTCATTACAGCATGAAGTTCCAAGATTAAGTAATATTAAGCAAAAAATACTATGTTATTATAATAATTATCATACTTCGGGCACTTGACGTTTATATGTCAGAAGTGTACTTACAAGTTAATAATTTAACACATTTGGGTGGTTATTAAAAGCACTTTTTGATATAGGATTGTAAACTAAATACAACCAAACCTCCTATTAACAGACGCAGACAGTATCAAGACTATTCTCCATAATCCGGGAGCATGTATTAAATGGGAGTGAACTGATCCCTTTTTTGAGGAATCCGGGTATTCAGGAACTCTCCTTTAAGGGAAGTGTTTGCTAAAGTGGAAGGTCCGTTAACGAAGGTCTGATTCTATATATTATATTGAAAAATGTCTTATAATTCTGGATAAATATGAAATATGACCTTTGAAAGTAAAATTTTTATTTTTGAAAAATAAAGCAAATACCCTCTCTGTAAATGTGGAGTCCTCCATCCTTTAATCTGGCTGAGTTTGGTATCAGAAATTCTAATAGTAAGAGGTAGCTCAGGCATCCAGACTAAGAAATGAGCCTGTCCAGTGTATGTGCCATATTTTACTAATATTGAAGCGTTTTGTGAACCTCGAATTTCAGATCCATCAAGGTAAACTGATGTGCAGGAAGGTGAAACCTATGTAAAAAAAAGAAGTCAGAAATATTTAAAACTGATAAAACAGTTTTTAAAACACAAAAGAAAATAATTAACTGCATGAAAAATAGTCAACGAAAATGCGAATTTATCGTAATAAAAACAACCTAAGGTTAATTAACAATTTTATTTCTGCATAACGCTGTAAATGGCAACATTAATAATAGCTATTATAATATCGAATTCAGCTTTTAACTGTTTACATATTATTTAGTTTTGAATTCACAAAGCATTAGAATTTTTTTGATACTTAAAATGTACCTTAACTATATTGTATTTTTACGAAAGTTTTTGCTTGCATATTTAATATATTTATGGATTCTAATCTACAATTTCTGCTATTGAAAAACAGATCCTCTTTATAAACAAAGAAAAAAAAGCTTAATATAGCTTTTCAGCAATATAATGCTTTTATTAAATACAGTTCATAAACTATAGTTAACCGTATCTGGCCTTTATATGTAATTTTAAACGTATCCAGCATTTATATGAAATTTTAAGCATACCTGCCTTCCATTAATTTAGAGAAATAGAAAGTGTTAGAGATTTCTCGGCGGCCGGGTTAGAACTATATAAGCTCCCAGTGACCGTCAGATCTCAGTTATTCAGTTCAGAATTAATTTTGGAGTAATGAGATCTTCACGCGAGCTTCGTTCTTAAGATTCGCTTTGCACTGCGCTGTGTTTAATGTCCTTAATGGTTTGAATTGTAACTACTGATTACATTCTGTGACACTGAGAAAAGCTATATGAGTATTTTTATGGAAAATTTCAGAACTGTAAAGTGTTCCTTTCGGTAAAATAAATTATATCAAGCTATCATCAGTTCTGTGTGCATTCAATCCATTACGAACTCAAATGCTAGCAGTAATACTTCTAAGAAATCCAGCATTCACTGTAATGAAATACAACGTGTTTCAAAAAGAATATACGTATTTCGAATGCATATATTTATTAAACTATATGACATACGAATATGAAACTTTACACACGTACTATGTACGAATCTCTCAAGTTCAGATTACAGATGTTCAATATGTTCTCCATCAGCGACATGAGTAATATCACATCGATACTCAAATTCTTCCTATGCTCGCGCATGTATGTCCGTCGTCACTGATGTTATGGCAGTACGGATCAGGTTCTTCACCTCTTCCTGGTTCTGTGGGAGTGGTGGTACATAAACGCTGTCTTTAATGAAACCCCCTTAGGAAGAAGTCACAGGGTGTCAAACCCGGTGACCGTGGAGGCGAGGAGACATGCTAAGTCGGCAGGTCTTTGACGACCAATCCAACGGTTAGGTAGAGTTTCATTCAGATAATCGCGCACTTGGCGACACCAGTGAGGCGGGCGTCTTCTTGAAAAATGAAGTTGCCTTCTTCGTGCACCTAAACCAGTTTTGTACAGCGAGATACTGCGACCGTTAACCGTGTTTCTATCAGAAGAATAGCCCGTAACAGATGATCGGATTCGCACAAAACACATTGATTTTGGACGAATCTCGTACAGTTCAATGGCTGCTTGTGGGTTCTGTAGCCCCAATTCGAACATTGTGTTGTTTCCATGACCACCAACATGGAAAGCTTCATCACTGAACACGATGCGTTGGGCGAAAGTGTTATCATTGTCAACAGCACAATAACTCGTTACAAATGCCACACGTTGCGTTTGCCATCAGGAAGCAAAGCCTGTAACAAATGTAACTTGTTCATAACACACCGATGTCTCAAAACACGCCAAATTGTCGTTGTAGGCAGTTGTAACTCCCGACTGGCATGACGAGTTGATTTTGAGGATTACGGGGTTGGAAAGCAGTTTGAATTCGTGCAACATTTTCGTCGGGAACCCGGGGTTGGGTAGAACTCTTTCCTTTACATACACATCCTGTATTTCCAAAAGGTTAATACTATTTGCAAATGTTCCATCCATTCGGAAGATCACTTTGGTACCTCAACTTGAAACGTCTTTGCACTGTAATTATGGATTTGCACTTCGCAAACTCGAGAACACAAAATGACTTTTGCTGCGGAATAGCCATTTTAAACATGTGACGGTTTCCAAGCAAAATAGAAGACAACTGACATCTATTGGCTATTAATATAAACTAGACTATGTATTCGTTTTGCCAATAGCCGAGCCGAGGCGCAGTGATCGATAGTTTGGACAAAATAACACTTTGTAATACGTAAATGTTTTTTGGAACACTCTGTACACTGATCCACAAATTTTGGGAGGGAAATGGGAAGAAAAAAAAACATATTGTTTTCAGTGTTTCTCATATGATACTTAACAAATTTCCAAATAATCAAGTAATTTTACGCTCCAAAAATATAGGAACAAAGCCACTCGTCATCATGCATTTGGCCAGGGTTAGGCATTTTGCCGCCCACTTTAGTCTTTGCGGTCCTAAATTCTACTGCCCGGTGTCTGTCCTGAATTCTAAAAAAACCTTTGCTGCCCCTAATTTCTTCTAGCCAGAACCTTCTCTAAATTCTAAAAGGTTTGCCATTCTTGAATGTTGCTGCTTGGAGCTTTTCTAAATTCTAAAAATTTTGTCGCTCGGTATGGCTGCATCTATTGCACCAGCTATAGCAAAGGTCTTGCGATATTATCATATTTCCGCTCTAGATTTTCTTATTTAAAATTCAAGTACATGTGTATATAAATTTTATTTTAGTTATTCCCTTAATCATATATACTTACTTTTAAAATGGATTCATCAGCCGCATGACAAGATGACTGCAAAGTTACGTCCCCTACCTTTCCCGCTTGACTGACAACAAACACTTTCATTGGCTGAGATACCTGCCGTCCATTCAGCACAGCCGTATTTAAAAGCTGGTTAGACTATTAAAGAAAACCAAGTAAATTAATTAATTTTATTGCCTTAACATTTTTAAATCTGTCAAAGCATATATAAATAAAAAGTATTGCAATTATTCTTAAATTATCAAAACTAATTTCATTGCTATTATTTTAATTGAAACTGAAGAATCAGATCAGATTTAAACATTTTAACATCTTACGACAAACAAGACTAAAAGCCGACCCCACCAGCGCCAGAACCCCACCAGATGGGGAAAGCATATATTGGTTGGCTTTGTATGTTTGATTTGGTTTGTTGGTTTGTTTTATTGTATTTTGGTATGTTGTGTTTTGGTTTTTGAGCCCACCCCTTAAACGGTACCAGAACTCTACCTCCGAAAACGGTTCCACCCCTACTGGTGTCTTCTGCAGATCACAAGCTTTTGTAGTGAGATATTTCTTTGTTGCTGATAGTTGTGAGGTTACTATATATTTGGGTGGTTGGTGATATTGGTTGTTATCTTTTTGTATTGAGGGTCTATTGTAATTTAGGTATGTGTATTTGTCGAATTGTGTAGGGTGATGATGGGGTGCAAGGTTTTACAGAGGAAGGGTGATTATTGTGTATGAGAGTTGAATAGAGTGGTTGTGGATGTTTGGATCATACCCCCTCCAACGAGGAGACACGTGGATCCAGGCCCGCGAAGGTCAGGGGAGGGCGGAGAGGGATTCACGCTGGTGGTCTCTCACTGTTCGAGACTCGGCAGTATGAGACCCCCAAATCCGTCGCAAGATGCTGAGCCAGGTAGGGGCAGAAGTCTGAATTGACGGCCATGCAGAGGTGAGCTCAGCGCCTACGTATGGTCCCCCACCAAAATGCGCGGTGTGGGGTCGTGCCCACTGCTATCAGAACACAAGAACCTCCTTCCTAGATCGAACTGGGGGGACAAGTAATTGGGGGGCTACGCGCGATCCTGAGGTCCCGTAGTATCCTGGGCCCGAAGATGTCGCGATCGCATGACATTAAGGACTTGTATGTTTCCGACTGACCACAACGGGATGCGAAGAGAGGAACCAGAGTAGATCACACTGAATTTGTTTTCGAGGTTGGTTGAGTGCAAGGCTCTGTGGCGATAGGATGGGGGAAATAGACCCTAGGCTTGCGAGGGTGGTCCCACCCAGCGACGCCGTGGGTGACAGACATGGGCTCGAGCGGCGCGCGCCCTCAGCCTGGTCTCCTTGTTTCACCAGATAGCGAGCCGGGAGGTGGGACCGGCTCGGCTTGCGTTGTTGTTGTGGGTGTTGTGATATCTTTATGGTTTATACGTTTTATTATCGTTTTGGGATTGGGTGTTTTGGTATGAGGTGTGGGTTAGGTGTGATGTTGATTAGTAATGTGTATTTTAATGTATTGTGTTAGGGGAGGGTAGAGTTGACTAATGGAATGGTTTTATGTTGAGAGTTGGTGGCGGCGGGTTTTTAAGAGCTGTGGTGTTTTTGTAGGGTGTTTAGGGTGAATTTTTTTTTTGGTTTGAGGGTTTTTGGTGTTTATTTTTCGGTGTTTTGGTTCGTGTTGTTATTTATGAGGATTTTATGTGTGTGGTTTGTGTTTTGGTTTGTATGGTTTTTGAAGTTTTTATGGGTAGTTTGTATGTTTATTTGTTTATGTTATGCGTTTTGTGGTGTTATTTTGTTGTGGATTTTGGGTTTGGGTTTGTTGAGTTATGATGTTATTGGTGAATTGTGGAGTTAAGTGTCGAGGGGGGGAGGTAGGCTTGGTTCTGGGGGTATTTTTTTGGTTTTGTTTTTTTGGTTGTTTTTAGGTAATAGGAGGTAGGGGGGTCGCGGACAAGCACTCCGAAATAGAGACATAATACCCGCATCCCTGGCCGTGGTAGTTGGTAGGAGATATTTTGTGATGCGCATTAACCCGATCCGAAATCGGTGATGCAATACTCCCATTCAGATATTTCGTTACCGCCTAGGTGATTGATCTCTATTCGCAACCGTTAACCCTTGGGCGAGCACCGCCATCCGAATGCGCGCACATCTGAAATCGGCTCCACCGTGGTGTGAGAGGCAGAGTGTCGCCGTTTTTCTTTTGAGTGTCTGTTTCTTGTTGGATGGTTTTTTTAGTTGTTTTTTTTTAGGTTTTGGGGTTTTGTGTGTTAGTTTATGTTGAGGGATGTTATATGTTGGAGGTTGGTGGGTTGGTTTGTTGGTATTATGTAGTTGGATTTGGGTGAGTGTTTAATTTGGTTTTGTTGTAGGTGGGGTTGCAGTCTACCCAGCTCCCCCCTCCCCGCCCAATCTCCTTATGCAGCGACTGGCTTCCCCACATACCCTGCGTCGCACAAAATCGGGGACCCTGAGTTGTAGCAATTATCGGAAAAACGGCACCTTCCGGGCGGTACTGCCAGACCGAAAGCAATCACTCCTAACGATAGTCCGTCCAAGAAATCCCTCCGTTACAATTATCATCGCCCACGATGGAGAAGGAAAAAAAACCCAAAATCAAAAACATTTTAACAATCTTACGAATTCTATTTAAAAATTGCAAAATAAACGGTCTTTAGAATCCCCTTTAGAAATTATGGATTAATTTCCCTCAAGCTAAATCAGAAATCTTCTATAGCATTGTATAAAATTTCAGGCAAACACACACAGGGGGTTGGTGGGGTGGGTGGTTGGGGTGGAAAACCCAAGAGTGGGGGGGGGGTTTTTGTGTTTTTTGTTTTGTTTTGCACTGAGAAACCCTGGTGTTGTGGTTTTTGTTTTTTGTTTTTGTTTTTTTTTTGTTTTGTCTTATTTGGGTGTATTTTTTTTTGGATAGTGTGTAGGGTTTTGAGTTTTTTGCTGTAGGTTGGGGGTATGGTGTTTATGTTTTTTAGTTTGTTATGGTTGTGGGTATTTATTGGTGGTTGTTTGTTTTGTTTGTTGTGAGTTTTTTGTTGGTTTTGGTTTTTTTATTTTTTTGTGTGGTTTGGGTGTTTTTGTTTTTATTGGGGTGGTGGATTTGGTTATGTGTTATTGTGTTGGGTTTGTTTTATGTGTGTGTAATTTGTGTGTTGGATATATTTAGTGTAGATGTGTTTTATTTGGTTGTTTGTTTTGAGAACGGTAGGATGGTTGTTTATTGTGGGTGTGGTTTTTTTGTTGTGTTGGTAGGGTATATTTTGTTATTTATGTGAGTATGGAGGGTTGTTTTTCGTCGTGTTAGCTTTGTTGTGTGTGGTGGTTGGTTTTTAGTTTGTGGTTCGTGTTTTTAAGTTATTGTGGTTCTCGGGTGTTTGTTTTGTGGGTTGTATATTTGTTTGGGGGATCGTTTTATTGTTGTGTGTTTTTTGGTGGTGTGGGAAGGGTATTTTTTTTTGTTGTAGTGTTTTTTATGTATTTTTTTTCTGGTGTTGTTTTTGGGTTGTTTTTAATGTGGGTGTTTGTTGTTGTTTTGGTTTTTATTTTTAGATGTTATAAGGTGGATTGTTTTTAGTTTATGTGTTGTTCTTTTTGGTTGGAAGAGGCGGGGGATGGTGGCCTCAAGGGGTTGTATTGGAGGTTTGGAGGTGTACTGGAGTTTTTTTTTAGTGGTTTGGGTGTGCTCTTTGGTTCTGTGTATTTTTTTTTTTTTTTGGTTGTACGTTGTCGGTTTTGTTGATTATTTTGGTGTGTTTTTTTTAGTGTATTTTTTCTGTTGTGTGTGATTGTTTTTTGTTGGTTTTGGTTGTTTTTGGTTTTTGTATTTTGGTTTTGTTGTGGTTATTTTTGTTGTGGTCTTATGTGTTTTTTAGTAGTTTTTATTGTTGGTGGTGTATTTTTTGTTTTTTTGTGCTATTTTTTTTTTTTTTTGTTGGTTGATTTGTTTTTTTTTTTCACCAATTGCTCGGGCCTCACCCAATATGTTCGGCGGATCCACGCCCTCCCCCCCCTACCCTCTCGCCCGCGTCTCCTTTGCCCTCCCCCTCCCCCTCCCCCGAGCCGGTCAAGCTCCCCCTCCCCCGCCTGCCCCGTCCCCCCCCGACCTTCCTCCCCTGCACCCACCCCGCTCCCCCCCCCCATTTTTTTTTGTTGTTTTGTGTATGGTGGTTTTTTGTTGTTTTCTGCTCTCCTTCTTTCACTCTTTCAGATATAGAAGCTATAGCGTTCATGCATAGATTCTATAAAAATGGTATCACATTTCTAGAAGGTCCACTTCTCAGAAATCCTGACATACTGTGCATGGAATCAATTAACAGAATTCTACTAAAAATAATAGTTCCAATTTATAGAAAACTGAACCATAATTCTAAAGAATTTTAAATAAATTTCCTTTCTTTAAGTTTCTGTAAAAAATCTTATAGAAGCTTTTGAGTATTTAAAAGTATTATAAAATTAAGAAAATTTTCTTTTGGCATTCAAAAGAATGAACTAAATTTTAATTTTTAAGTAGAGATTTTTAATTTAAATTTTGAAGATGATCATTATAAAGAAAGGTATGATAACACCAACTTTCAATCAAAGAAATGATTTTTTTAATAAACGATTTCAGTATCGCTTTGATTAAATGGAAACAAATATCATGGAAATGATAATTAAGTTTAATTAAAATTAATTATCATTGAAATGATAATTAAGTTTAATTAAAATTAAGAAATCATATCTCTTATCAGGAGTATATAAACAATAATTAAAAACATTAATTGCAAGAATTAAAATTTCCTAATTAATTGTGTAAATTGAATCTTCAAGTAATTTTAAGATTTAAATTGATTTTACACTTTTACAAGACAATTTTTTTTTTATTATCTAAGAAATACTGCACAAAAATTGCACAAAATGTTACATAAATATCAAAGCTAAAAGGCATTAAATTAGAGGGAAAAAGGGGTGAAAAACTCCATTTAAAACTATAATAGATTTATTCATTTATTCAAGGTATATGAATAAAATTTGGTTTTAATTGAGAAGCAGCATATCTATGCAGGACGGTCTATGAAACTTCACAGCAATTTCTATGCGGTTCTATCAGCTTTATAAAGAGTTTTTTAAGGGTGGACTGC